TCCTTTTACTAAGCACCTACGTTCACAAAGAACTAACCAAGGCCACAGGCCGAATGATCAGACCAGGCGCCAAGCCAACTGATCAAATCTTCAAAACTAATACGACCTGTCCCAACATCATAGCAGGCGTCCGGCGGCATCCCTCCGGATGAAATTCGTCGCAGAGAGCAGCTCCCTTTTGGGTGGAACATTGCTCTGTAAACTAATTACACGGCACCTATACGACTGCCCCCAAGGGCATCCATGTAGCCGTTTTTGAGACAAGGATAACTCTATCACTAACCAAACCAGTGGTAGCAGTTGACATCTGAGTCAGATGACCGCCTGTATTACTTGGGATAAATGCAGGGGGTACCTCTTGAGTTAATAGCCAACAAACATTGGCGAATAAAGGGGTCTAGCCGGCCTCCGCCGCCTGGTACCTCTACTTCTCAAGCAAGAGTGACGGAGACTGAGTAACACCAACGTTAACTCATAGTCACTCCCTCAAACTTGGTATGGAACTTAAAAGGTTTGAGTAGACCGCCTGTTTTTTGGCAAACAGGGGCACCCAAACCCCTATTCCTACTAGGTAACCACTCGGGTTAATAGCCAATAAACAGTGCGAATCAAGGGGATCAGCCGGCCTCCGCCGCCTGGTACCTCTACTACTCAATCTAGAGTGTGACGGAGACTGAGTAACTCCTATGTTAACTTATGGTCACCCCCTCAAACTTAGTATGGAGCCTAAAAGGTATGAGTCGTCCGCCTGTTTTTAGCAAACAGAGGCTCTCAACCACTACTCCTGCTAGGTTAACAACTTATGAGTTAAAAGCCAACAAACATTGGCGAATAAAGGGGAACAACCGGTACCCACCGCTTGATACCTCTACTACTCAGTTCCTTGGCAACTAGGTAATAATCATGTTTACTTGGTCAGACCACTTTCCTACTTGGTTAATTTTACAAATGACAGGACCGCCTGCCTAAAGGAGATCCAGTCTTTAAAATGGTTCGAATACCGATTGGATAAAAGGCCGACTGATTGTCTATCTTGGAAACCGACAACCAGTCGTCCAGCGGCATAAGCGGCGTGACTAATTATCCGTACCTGTCTGCAACTATCGGCCATGTAAAACAGTCGGTATCGTGAACAATTGGATATCAGAATATTCAATACTTAGACAAATTCGAAGCAAAACAAAAAATTCATTAAAAAGAAGTCGATCATTAAAGACCGGAAAAATATTCAGAGCCTCGGCCCCCTGGCCGGGTAAATACAAAACAAACGGCACGCAGGCCGTGGAAAGACATAAAGCTTAAGAAGGGGGCAGATCTTCAATATTAGCAGCTGCCGCCTGGTCAGCACTCTTCTTGCTGGACTCGGCTTCAGCTGCATCCTTTTTTGATGTATTACCCCCAAGCGGCACAAGCGCCACTACCGGCTCCTCCTCCTCCAACGCTTCCTCCAACGCCTCTTCCTCAGCAGCCGCCAGGATCTCTTGATTATATGTATCAGAACACTGGCGGTACGTTTTTTCCCATGAGGCAAAGTCGGCATTGGGGAAGAGGCGGCCCCAAGTCATGCGCTGGATTTGAGCAGAGTCTTCCATCATCTCCCGGACCAGCTCTTTCTTCTCTTGCTCGGCCTTTTCCGAGAGCTCCTGAGTAAGACTCTTCTCCTGGGTCACCAGGCATTCCTTTACGTTAGCCAAGGATTTCTCCAAGGCTTAGTATGAGTACATCTTTAGGCGAAGAGGTTTCAGCTCGGCCTTGAGATTGGTGATGGTCGCCTCCAGCTCGCCATTCCTCTTCTGGGCCGCCTCTAACTGAGCCCGAATAGCGGCGGTAGCCTGCGCCTGATAATAAAGAATATCAATGGTCAGAACTTCATTTTGGGCAATTTGAAACATTTCCTTATCACAGTTGGAGGCGGCCATGGCTTTTGCAGCCTTTACCTCTTTGTTCTTCCGGTCAAGCGGCTTGCGAAGGCCGTTCACTCGGAGAAGGGCCTAAGTAAAAAGGAACAGGCGTCAGTTTCCAAACAAAAAAGAAAACAGGCGTCCAGAAATTCAAATACTCAAAAATATGCTAAGTATACCTCAGCAAGGACCCCTGCAATCCCGTCTAGGTTAAGGGTGCCGACACCCCTGACCGCCTCCCTTTCAGCTGGAGGAACGGCTCTGATCATAGACTTGGCCACCTCTACCAAGTCAGGCTCCTGAGGGCCGGCCGCATCAAGCATAAACAAACGGATTAGACCTAGTAAAAAAGGGAGCAAGTCTAAAATTTACAAGGACAACTTCATACTTCTAGGCGGCCCAGTTGGAGTTTTAGAAGAAGTGGCCGGTTGTTTCTCAGCCACCACATGTTTCCTGGCAGAACCAGGAGAGCTCACAACAGTCGTCCTCCGGGCCTTGGGGTCCGGCTGTTGGGAAGAAGAAGCCCTTGGAGCACCCGTCTAAAAAAGAAGAAAAAAAAGTCAGTATATGCATAAACACAACTCCAAAAAAAGGGTGAAAGGTTCGAAGCCCACCAAGGGTGCCCCCTTCTAGGGAGAGTCGGTTAAAGCTTGTTGGATGATGGAGGCCCGCAACATGGCCGCCGCAGTCTTGGAGGCGGTAATTTTGCGCATAGCGTCCGCTGCAAAAACAAATAGCAAAGTTAATAAGTCATAACAAGAAATGTATGGAACAACAGAGTATTCGACAGGCCGACTACCTCTTGAGCACCGACTGCTGAGGCCACAGGCGGCCAAAAAGTACTCGTCATAGAGCCATTTGAAGCTCGGGACGCAGTACAGGGGTACTTGCTCTCGTACCCCTGAAGTAGAGTCGACCCTTGACTCTACTTTGAAGAGTCCTTTATCTAGGATCTCTTTCTTAGCCTTGGGGGGAACAGGCGGCATGCTGCGGCCGCCTGCAAGAAGGGGCGGATTCCTGTTCCACCTGTTGAGGCGCTTGTTCAGCTCTGTGTCTGAACTCTCAATGATGAGGAAGGTGCTCCGCCAGTCCTTCCATTTGTTTGCTTTACCTCTCGTCATGAGGTAGCCCCTGTGGCTCGTCAATTGATACCAGCCGGTACCGCCTGCCTTAGGGGTCCGGCTGAGATAGTTCATGTGGGCGAAAGCCTCGAAGCTCGGCTCCACCCCGTGCAGTTCGCACCCGACCACATAGCCGAGTACGTTGACCCAGGAGTTCGGGGCTAACTGCCATAACCCCAACTCATACCCATCCAAGATCCGCTGAACAGCCGGATGTAATGGGAAGCGCAGCCCAACCTTGATGGCCGCCTCGTAGCAGCCAAAGCAGGCGCTATCATAACTGGTACCAGCCGGCCAGACGACTGTGTCTTCTGGATCCGACACAAACACTAAAAAGTCGGGGCCCATTGTGTGGTTTGCGATAAAGCTCTCCACTTTCTCTTGCATGGCCGTGATCCGGCCCTGAGGTACCGTGCAGTAGTAGGGGGTATTTTGCTCTCGGTAAGAGGCGGATGGCTCCGCCCAATTGTCCCCCTTCTCAACTGCGTGAGAAAGCCTCGCCTCTTGCAGGCGACTGTTTTTCTCTTCTGTGTCCAGAGAAGCATGGCCAGAAGAGCTAGACTCGGAATCGTCCTCTGACGAGTCCGAAGAGGACGACTCCTCCCCTCTCCCGGAGGGGCCCGCCTCCTCTCCTTGAAAAGGAGCAGAATTGTTAACTGTAAAATGGGAAGGGGTCACTATGACTCCTCCCTCAGAATTGCCGGCTTTCAGGCCGCTTTGTTTTACTTCCACATCTGGCGCCTGGTCAGATGTTCACTAATCGGCACCCTGTGGGAGGAGCCGTCTGAATTTGAGATCCCAGCAGTCTTTTTTGTTCTGGCCATCATGCTCTGCAAAGACACAGATACAGTCGAACTTTGTATAAAGGGCAAAGATGGGTCCGGAAAAGGGCAGGCGACACTCCTAGTCCTAGATTCAGCCGTCCCCGGTGACCGGCTGATCACTAACCTAGGTCGTGTCGTGTGCTTCCGTGGTGCCATTTCAAAAAATAAAAAGAAAATTAAGAGTAAGAGAACCGACAATTACCTGAACGAGTGAGGATTGATGAAGTGCTGAAAATCCTGTGCAGTCGGCTTGTCAGAACAGGCGGTAGGCAGAAAAGGTCCAAAATGTCAGACAAGTTCAGGGGTCCGAATGTTCTCTCAAAAAGTTCTCAAGTGTGAAAATAACTAAAGTCAACACTCCCTTATATAGGCGAAGTGAGAAGGCGAAGGGTCACTTTCAGAATTCAAAATTTGGGCGGGAAAATCTCTCGGCCTTTCGCCGACTGACACCTGTAGCAGGCCGTCGCCTGTTACAGTGCGGCACCTGTCACAGGTAACACGTGACCAGTCACGTGCCACCTGTGAGGGGAAAATGATTAGGGGATTTTGCTCCCACCAATCGGAATGCGCCACGTGGGCCAATCAGGTCCTGCCAAGTGTCCTCCAGTTGGAACTGTCAGGGCTTGCCACGTGGCACACGCTTATTCGTCCACCTTGGACCTATTATGTCATGACACGTGACATACTCCATGCCTAATGGAGAAACCGGCCACCCAGGCCCAACTTCCGAGGGAAGCCCAATCAGCCCTAGGTTAACCTAAACCTAGGATTGGCACGTTTCCCAAGGTTATAAATACCTCCCTTAATCCTCATTAAGGGGGATTACAAATTGATTACATATTGATTACACACGAATTACACAGAGATAATAGGCTGATCACGCTAACAAAACAGATTACGCTAAAAACTCACATTAAACACTCTCACCTAGAGAGACCCAATCACTTTAATTTCCGCATTAATTACTCCTTAATCAAGTACTAACTTGATCGTTGGAGGCGGAGCTCCCACCACCAGGAGTCTCCGTTGTTTTGCAGGTACAGGCGTCCGGTTCCAGTCTCGGAATTGTAACTCTCCCGCAGGACATCAGAAAACCCCGAAACAATTTCCATTGAATCAGTGACGTGGACGGTAGATTGGGAATTAAAAAAAAGTTGGCTGTATTTTGGGAATTAGAGAATTTCCCAACATTATTTAGGGAAAGCGATGGGGATAGCATATTATATATTATTATTTATTGTTTTTGGCTCGAAAAAAAAAATTCAAGGCCATGCGTATTTACCGATATACCCCTGGGCTGAGACCGACTCCAATCGTCATTGACTTATAAACATTCATTAGTTCGGAGGATGATGGTGAATGATCATAATTCCTAATTCCAACATGCACTCCAAATCCATCTCTTCTCTCTCTCCTCTAAATTCCCCTCAAAAATCAAAACCCATCAAAACCATTCCCAATCACACATTTTCTTGTAAACCCACTGACCCATTTTCCTCACCTTCAAAAAACTCCAATGTTGAGATAAGGGTGTGCACAAACAGGACTTGCAGGAGGCAAGGATCTTTGCAAATTCTTGAAAACCTTTTGGGAATTTCACCTGCCCATGTTTCTGTAACGTCCTGCGGCTGTCTCGGCCGCTGCGGTAGTGGTCCTAACCTTGTGGTATTGCCTCCTGCAGCCATGATTAGCCATTGTGGGACGGCGGCTCGTACCGCTGAGCTCATGGTTGAGGTCTGTGGTGCAGGGGTTGATGATTTTGATCTTGCTAAGAGGAGCTTGGATGCTCTTGCTTTTAGGAAGAGGGCTGAGGTTGAATTTGAGAAGCAAAACTACTCTGAAGCTGAAAATTTATATTCTCAGGTACTAATACTATTAAATAATATAGTAGATATAGAAATGTTATATACTGAAATTTTATTAATGCAGTATATTTTGTGTTACATAGAATGTTATTGAAGTTGGGTGGATTGGAATACTTTAGATGATTTTTTTTTTTTTTCAATATTTTGTTTAAATATAATGGGTTATTGTTTAATTTATGTAGTGGTTCATGTGTTATTGAATAACAGATAACTAGATATTGTTTGGGTTGATTTGACCGGGTTTTCTTGCATAATGTGATTAGTGCTAGTACCTAGATGGAAGGTCTAATTTTTTATGTTAATATTATAAATGTTAGCTTTGTGCAATAACTAGGATTTGTGCTAGATTATGTTTAATAAGGTGTCATAGTGTACGAAAAATCTTCAAATGAGGAGATAAAGATTTGAAAAGGAGGTGAGCAGAAGAGAGAAAGGTAGGATATCCACATCAAAATGTAGCGTTGCAAGCCTAAGTGTGCTATGTAATTACAAAAAGATCTATCACCAACCTAAGATAAGCACCTGTAGAGCAAATTATCTAGTCCAAACTGACTATACTTCCCAAAAGGCTAATCAAAGGCTACATATCAATCATTCCACAACCAAACTCAACGATTCTCATAATGCATTCATGTCAATAAGGGTAAAACCATGAAGCACAAATTCAAAATAAACATCGAGCAAATATGCACAAACAATACCAACAACTGACTCTTAGCAAGCTAATATACTCGCACACCAGAAGTTTAGCATCCATTTTCCAACCTAAAAAAAAAATATTTAATTAAGAATAAGCAACCCTGCCCCCCCCCCCCCCCACCCCAGCTAGCGATTGACACCAACCTTTATATCCAAAGGATTATGAGAGAAGGTGGGTAGGTAAACTGGTGGCTAATCCCCTTCTTGACCAGGTGAATTGATAAAGTTATAATTAGGATCAACATCGCTGTAGTTGACCAGGTATTTACACAGGGAGGCAAGTCATAGTCTGGGGCCGGTTAGTAGTGGCTATAATTGGGTTTACCCTGAGCACCCCCAACCACCGTCAAATTCGAGTGGAAACCCGTAATGACCCCTTATGCATATCTTGTTACCATTCCGGTAAATGTGGGATCTAGTCAATAAAGGACTAGTTACTCTTGGGGAGTAATCTTCTATATTTTCGTCTTTTCCAATTTTAATATTATCAAACTTAAGCTGAATCATGTAATTTGACAACCTTCATTTTCTCGATTCCTTAAAATTTATTTTTCAAGGACCGTGAAAGTCTAGATGGCTACTACAATAAGGGGGGGTGAATTGTAGTATATGTGAAATAATGAACTTTTTTGCGGAATTTAAACTAAGTAAAAAAATAGAGAGATATGATATGGGTTTTTCTGAATTTCCACTATGTAAATCAAACTCTTTTACAAGTGAATAATACACCCGTAACAAGTCCCACAAGAACGGAACTTGTTCCCAACTCTCTCAGACTCTGAAATTTCCTTCACCTCACAGATTACAACTCTCACAATCCCCAAGATCTTAATTACAATAAGTAATACAAGACCTAATGCACTTAATATAAGAAGTTGGAACTCTCCTCTCGTTATTACTCACTTGAATATTATGCTCAAGAAAGTGTGCATGAGTATTTATAGAGAAGGCTTAGTCATTAACCTCCCACTATAATCACGTACACATGTCAACACCCCACTAACATATTGTGGAGTAATCGTGACAGATGGTGATCATGATGGAGGTTTTCTAGCCTTGCTCACCAATCCACTATCTCAACAACTTGCTAAATATTTGCTTTAAGAAAACCGTATAAGGAGAACAAATAAAACCGTTTATTGACTTCTTCAAAATAATATTTATTAAGAAGATAGTTTGTTAAAAAGGATATTTATAAAATACTTTATTTAAATATTAAGATAAAGAAGATAATTAAACTGGAAAGATAATAATACAATTCTATTCATTTAAATATTGAACCAGTTGAAAAGATATTTTTGTTTCAAAAGATAATAAATTAATTTTATTAATTTATTAATAAAACAATAATATCCGATTTCATTAAAGCAGTAGACTAATATAAAATATACTTTGTTATAAACTTATTAAAAATAGTTTTATCATAATTCTCAAAAACAATTTTTATACTCCAGTTTAACGTGTTTATTAATAACGTGCCTCATTGAATTCCATAACAACTTATATTGTAAGTGCTTACAATTAATCTAGAATGAGATATTGCACGAGGTGATTTCATGAATGCTGCTCCACATTCTTTAATTTGTGTTCCTACTACGGAACGGACTTTGTTGCTTGAACCTTTTATTCACCAAAGACTTAAAACGCTCATTACTCAAGTTTGTCAGTTTGTCCATCAAAACCAAAAGGGTCAACAGACCGCATGCTTGTTTTTCCTGAGGTAGCATTCATTATTCAAGGAAATACCGAGCAATTACCGAGTTTGTGGCAGCTAGATGATATCTTGCTAATGGTACTTTTTTAGCCAGTTAATTGCTCTCTTATTTCATCAAATTCTCATATGCCAAGGCACCAAAAACAACTTTCACTTGGATGCTCTAATACTTGTAATTGTCATCATTAAATAGTGAGACATCATGTTGGTGTGTGCTTGAAAATGCCATTTTGATTTTTTTTATTTATTTATTTTTTAATTATGAAATATATCAAACATTACAGAAATCATACTAGAACCTTCTTGGTTATTGTGCTATTGTGCATGAATACTTTGTTACAAATAAATTGAACATGTGAGTATATGATTTTTATATAATTCTTTTGTAATTTTTATCTTATACTTCCTCCATTTCAAATTAGTTGACACGTTTCTTTTAACTGTAAATTTCTCTATTTATCAATAAGTGTACATTATAAAAAGTTGATTTTTTTAAAACCAAACATTGTGAAGAATCTAAGGTCTCACATGACTATAATTTTTCATATATAATCACAAAAGCTAATCAAAGTAAAGTTTGTGAATAGTATCAAAAGTCAAAATGTGTTAACAATTTTGGAACGGAGGAAGAATTTTACAATGCTTATATAACAATTTTATTTACGTAAGCACCATAAACAATTGACTTAAACTTGGAAGATTAATAAAACAAAATCAAAAGTAATACGGATTATAGTATAACTAAAAATAATCTGTTAATTTCGAGAGATTGAAGGAGGTTTCTCAACTGTTTTCAACATTTAATTATAGAAGCTAAGAAACATGTTGCTATGAAACAACAGTATTTCTTTATCTTTTATGGTAATGATGTGAGCATAAGATTGGAGCCCAAATTCAGCTTTTTTCAAGCATAAAATTTTTGTTATATGTACTGAAACTATTTCCTGTGGCTTGCAAAAATTAAACATTCTCTAATTGAAAAAAAATCTACTGAGGTTAGAGAGTTCAGGCAAAAGTGTGTCACTCAGTTTTCCATCTTCAAGCATAATCAATGTCACTCTTTAAGATCTTAGTATGAACTTATTGGTAGAAGTGCTAACACTAATTTATTTGCTATTTCAGGCGATAGAAGCTAAACCAATAGGAGGCGTTCATATTACATACAAGGGCAGGTTTGTAAATGTGCATGTCTTATTGCATGCTGAAAATAAAGGCACTTATTTCAATACTTAAAATTAAACCCTCTTAACAAAAAGTTTTAAGGAGTGAATTATGTTTTACATGACTTATGAGTTAGGTAGCTGACAGCTTCACTATTCTGTGTTGGTTTAATATTTTTGTTCATTAGAATGTTTCTTACTATTTATTGCATGTGACTTCTACCATAGAATGAAGCATTCACCTTTCAATTTAGAAGTTGTCTTCATTGAATAAGTGAGCATCCTATCTCCAATTCAGGTCTGCTGTAAGGTTGGCATCAGGCAACTTCAGTGGGGCTCTTGAAGATGTTAGAGAAGCTCTAGTATATGCCCCACTGTATGCTGAGGTGGGTGGTGACATGTGGTTTTCACTGTAGGAAGCTTCATGGGAATTCGTGATTTTTAACGCACTTTTGACTGAGTAATTCAGGGTGATGTCAAAGTTTAGTTTAGTTATCTTTATTGATGAAGCTTGCATCCTCCTCGAATTACAGATGGTAACTTGCTTCTACGGAAGATGTGCCACTGACGTTCTGTTGAAATTTAAGAGAATAATTATGGCTTATGGTTTATGCTTGATAATACTATTACTTTTCAAATGTCGGTGTAGGGTATAAGGTATTTTACATGTTTTGCAAGTCACATGGTCGATCATGCTTTATGATTCATAAAATTATCTAGAAATCAAGAAATGAACAAGTGACGTAGAAAGAAACACAAGGGTCATCCCAGTCCCAGTGCAGGGTGCTACTCGACATGGGTGGGTCATTATATTGTCATTGTGTAAGTCATATGGTTAACTGTGCATATAGTTATTTTGTGCTGTTTCGGTAATGAATATGTGCCTCTTGAAAGTAATATTTGGATCACATAGACAATATACTAAGTAGCTTGTCAAAGTTAATTTTGCATTTTAAGAAAACTTAGTGATGAGGCAATGAAAATAGTTAACTCATTCATGACATACTATCTGATTTTTCAAGGTTTAGTTTTTTTATGTCTCTGTATGTAAATTCTTAAACAAAATCCTCTGTCATTTCTATGGCAGTGCTACTTCATCTCAAACTATCTCTTTTTCTTCATAGATTTTCAATACCTTCCATTACCATTGGTAATGGAAATTTATAAATCAAGTAATTTTAATTACCACTTGGGGAATAGTATTTGGTGTTAATGGAAATTTATGAAGCAGAAACACAAGTCTGGGGATAGAGTTGCATTACCAAAGACATTAAGATTTTTCTTGTATAATTAAGCTTAAAATTCATTCTCATTACCACCATCTAGTACTACCTACCAAACGGGCCGTAAATGTCCTTGAACTAAATTCATTTCAATGACAATAACAAGTTTATAACTAAATTCAATGTGTTGATAAGATTTTTTTTATTTTATTTAATTTTTTTTATGGTGGGACTTAAGACATATTTTTAGGAAAAGATTAACGGATGGACTTAAAAAATGTAGACAAAGCTTCACTACAAAGTTTTGATAAGTTGATCACCCAATTTTGCTTATGGAAACTGTTAGCATTTTTTTTTCTTTTGGTTTTGTTGATAGTTTAATAGGGGCACTTTAGAATATCTTCTTGGTCCCTGGGAAGCACCACCATGGTGTGTTGAATTCCATTTTTTATTACTCCAATAGTAAAATTTTCAAGCTCATGGTGTGGAGTGTGGACATGCAAAAGCAACTTGAAATGATGCACTTGAGTGCAAATTTTAAACTAAGTGGATCTTTAGAAGCATATTATGCTTAATTGTTGATTGTAATGCCATCTCTTGTGAAATATGAGGAAGGTGATTCTTTTCTTTTTCACGAAATGTAGGTTGATAGTGGAAAGAAAAAAAAGCCTAGCAAGGCATGTACCATTATATAAAATGGAAACAAAACTGGGAATGATATGGTTGTGAAAGATGGAAATCTCTCTTAAGCAAGGCATGTAACATTATATAAAATTTTAATGCCTCTTTTGACTTTTTGAGTAATAGAGGCATCAAAAGATAAGCTGTAAACAAGTTGAGAAAAAAAGTTTTTCCAGGGGTAACAATGACTTGAGATAGTGAAATGGCTTTGAGGTGTGTTTTGATATAGTTCATCAGGAAAACACCAAGGATTCTACATATATTAACAATTCAATCAATGGAATCCAAACTCATTGAAAATATGTGTTCAATTAGCAATGCCTAGGCATTTTGCTTACTGTACTTTGTTGTGTGTTACTATGAGACGAGAGCATGAGGCTTATAACATACTTTGTAGTGGATATGCTAGCTGATTTCAACTCTAAGATTCTATTTTCCTAGGATGGATTGATAAATAAAGGTTCTTACGTCGTATTCTTTCAGATTGGGATACTTGTACAAGAATTATCCCTTTACACTTTTGGCACTAGATATAAATGAAGTCTGCATCATATGCCTATTTCCCTTTATGCTTGCATTGGCCTGGTGAAATAGTCAACGTTTATTCAGTGAAGACATACACTTGTAAAGAATGGAATTTTGTAATCTTGTGCTAGAAAGGGTAGTGTCTCACAACTTAAGACAGAGCCAATGCGAAATACTAAAACTAATGGTTATAATATGGAAATTCATTGCAATCATACATTTATTTGTTATAGTATTGTGTTGGAGGTATCTGACAGTTTTCAAAATCTTAGGCTTATATTTGCCAAGGCGATATTTTCTTAGCAATGGATCAACTAGAAGATGCTGAGGGATCGTATGCCATAGCTTTGAACAGTGATCCTTCTCTCCGTCGTTCAAAAGCTTTTAAGGTAAGGTCACTTGGAAATTTTATGTATTTTAGTCAGTCTACTTGGTCTTTATGTGTTTGCAGCTAGTACTGCATATGATAAGTAGGCTATGATCCAGTACTACTATGGAAAATATGATGTAGAAAGTTTACACCACCCAATAATTTGGGCTATTATGATGATGCTGCTATATGTTGTAACATAATTGAATACATCCCTTATTCCTGCCTTCCATGAACCATGAACTTAATAACATTGGCCTTGCTTTCCGAACCACCAAAAGTTTATGGTGGATTAACTTTTTGATGCATATTATTTACTGGTTTTAAAGTGTCAAGTGCTGCAATTATTTGGTACAGGCTCGATTTCAGATGCTTCTAGAGAAAATGACTTCTGTAGCCATGTCTTGACTAGCTAAGAATTTTGCTGCTGTGACTGAAGATGGATATCTTCTACGTTGTTCAGGTTTGGTTTCTTCTTAATATAATCTCCATAGATATTAATTCTGTTGTATTCTCCGCATACGTGTCTTCTCCCCTACACTATGTTTGGATAGAAAGAAACAGATGGAACGGAAGAGAAGAGAAAAGGAAGGATGCATCATTTGTTTGTATACCTAATGCAAGGAGAGAAGGGGAGGGAATTGGGAGGATTCATTTTCCTTCCCCTTTTAATAAACCAAATCCCTTCATTGTTGGAGAGATTTGGTAGGGAAATGGAAGTTCACCTTCTCCCTCCCCTCACCTCCCCTTCCCTTCCCTCTTTTTCCTGCCCCTCCCTTTCCCTTCACTATTGTTATCCAAACATAGTGTAAATGAGGAGTTGGCTATTCTACTTTGTATGATAATCTCCTTTACTTGAAATTGTGCTTCCATAATCATCTGTTTTTTTTTCCCCAAATATATTAACATTTAAATTCTCTGTACATCTGTTGTTTGATTTTCTCTAGTGTAAGTTTTTGGCTGCATTTGTCACATATTTGGATCCTAGCAAGACATTTGTTTCGTCGTGAACATAATTTTAAAGCCTTAGTTGTAGTACTCTGCTTCCTGCCAGTTTTTGGGGAGCTTTTTCTGCTATGGTTTTTATATCCATCTATTCCAGCAAATGTTCTATCAAAAAGATTATGTGAGATGAAGTTACCAAAAATCAACCCTCTGTCTTGCCGCCCTCGCTGTCGTTCTCTCTCTCTCTCTGCTTTTGTACTTTTGGCATTGTATACTCAAGGTATCTCCAAAATTGTGTTCAACATTTCTGAATAATTCATGTACTCAATGCAAACAGGTTCTCAACTTCTCCTTTTGTGACGATTGGCACCAAGTTTGATCATTTATATTCAATTTCCCCCCTAATCACATTAGGGAAATAATTATAAAAGTGCGATCTTGTGAAAAATCTTTATGAGATAATACCATTATATCATGCTTATGAATCAGTGTATGATTTTGTCAAATTTAACAATCAGAATTGGCATATTTTGACTTGAAAGTTGAAACGCTGACAGAGGTATAGCTTCCGTTTGCATATCAATGAATCTGAACTTCTGAAGTACCCATAATTTATCTGGGTTATGAACTCATTGACTTGCTAGTGTCTTAGTATTTTGTATGTTTTATTTGATTTATCAAACTACCACAAAAACAAGTTATTGTAGAAATCCTGGCATCTTATCATCTTATGCCAATTTCACTTTTTCAGAGTAGTCATCTCACTTATGCTCCAACCTTTTACAAGTACATAATCTTTAATGAAGCATGTGATGATCCAAGCAGCTCAATCATGGACTCAAGCTGCACAGCAAGCAGATGCAACCAATCCGAGCTACTGGTTTACTCGAGGCTCCTATTGGCTTTTATCACATCGCCCTGCTCAACAGATTATAGTTAGTTATTATGACTTATGAGGAAAAGTCTGTCAAAGTTTGTAAGCTCTTTCATTTCAGTTGTATAAGTAATGATCGTACTTGCTGTATGCCTGTAATCATAATTCTCATGCTTAATTAAATGAGCTTAATTTCTCTCTCTAGATCTTTTATATTTAAACAGAAAATTCGATCCATGGGTAGTTTGTATTTATAAGATGTTTTAACAAAAATCTTTCATAAATGTCATTTTGTATAAAAATCGAAAGTATGAGGCTATCAATAACAATCGAAAAAAAAGAGTTGGCCACCAATGAAAAAGTCAATAGTATAGAGCTATCATCGAGAAGTCCAGAAGATTCCTAAAAATCCAATATATAAAAAAATCCAAGATGGTTTAGTTTGTGTTGTTTTCGATCTGAGTATTTTTGGGTCAATTATTTCAAGCGGAAACTGGTTTAGATCATTTTGGGTATCGGTTTATTTTGGTTCAAGTCATTTCGAATACTGGGTAATTTATGTTAAGTTCAATTCGGATATAGCCTCAATTGATTCGGGTTAGAATCAAGTCAGATCACTACGGTTATCGGGTAATTTTGGGTCGAGTAAAAGCAAGTCGGTTCACTTTGAGTATTAGATCAGATTTTTGAAGCGGATCAACTCCAATACGAGTCGGGTTGGGTTTTTATTCGAGTCACTTTGGTTTTCGAGCGAGTTTCCAATTGTTGATTTGAGTCTAGATTGGTTCTTGAGTCGAGTATGTCAAGCCATGTAATTGGATTTGGCCATTTGGGTCAGTTTGTCAAGTCTATGCAAATAAAACTGACATACTTAAAAAAACTTATATCAATGTTAATAGTAGTGACACTTTATATTATGTATTACTCGGGTAGTAATTAACATTTTACTCTGTATTTCCTTTTCTTTTAATTACAATGATGAAAATTTTACACTAACCACACACTCTTTTCTAGCCGTCTTTTGTAATTTATATTGTAGAAAAACAGAGTCGTGTGGATAAATTTGTCTTGATATATATCAAAATACTACCTCTGTTAACAGTTATTTGCAACATTTACCAAAAAAAGATGCTAACTATTATTTGCAACAAACTTATTTCTTTCCTATTTTAGTAACTTTTTTATGTCAAAATGACTAAAATACTCTCATTTAAAAATTATTAGCACATAATATTACACATAATTACACAACATTATAACCTTAATCTAAATTAATTATCTTTCTCTCACCTGAGGTACCAACACACCGAACCACCAAAGTCATCTCCTTCATCTCTCATTTCAGCTTTCTCTCTCCTTCATCTCTCATCTCTCTTCAAATTCCAATCCATCTTACTAGTTGGTTTCAGATCTGATTATTTGTGGGTGGTTTGCTTGATTCTTGGTTGGATTTGGTGGCTTGTGGGTGGACTTGCAGGTTTGTGGGGGTGGTTCGTGGGTGGGTTTGTTTATCGAGTGGTTCGGGGGTATTGGTGGTGTGTGGGATTTGGAGGTTCGTCGGTGTTGTTGGTGGTTCGTGGGGGTGGTTTTAATGGTAGTAGAAGGGTTTCAGTGGTTTGTCGGTGATTTTGGTGGTTCGTGGGGGTGGCTTTGGTGGTTCATCTAATCGGGATTTGGTGGTTCGTCGAAGGGTTAAGGTGATTAGTCGGTGATTTTGTTGGCTTCGTGGTTGGGTTTCGGTGGTGGTTTTGAGTTCTGGGTTTCGGTGGTTTGGGAATTTTTTTAATTGTTTTTTTTTTTTGTAGGATTAATACTTAACCACATGCCCTTAATTTTCAATAATCATACTTTAAAACTTTTGCCTAGGATTCCGCACAGACCCCTTTATTGCAAATAACTGTTAACGGAGGTAGTATTAAATTTTTATAATTTTTATTAAAAGATATTTAAGATGACAAATACTCCCTCCGCCCGAGGTTATCTGCAACATTTGCCAAAAACGGATGCTTTTATTATCTGCAACAAATTTTTTTATTTCCTTTTCTGGTAAAGTTTTACCCCATAATTTACTGTTTTACCCTTACTTAAAAAACAAAACATACTTTACAATTAACTAATTACTTATAGTTATCTACTAATAATCTAATCCCCCCCCCCCTTAATGATTCCCTCAAAATAAAAACCCCCTCATCTCCCTTATCAATCTCCCAACCACCCCATTGAATGAACTTCATTGAATTTGCCCAGATGTTTCTGCCCAGATTAATTGCTAGGGTCTGGATTTCTCCAAATTTTTTGTTTAAACCTCTTCGCATCCCTCTTTACTCTCATTTGTCTCACACACTCTCTCTCCTGTTCTACGTAACTTTTTCTTGTTCTTCTCTCTATGAAACCCTAAAATTCCATTTCTTCAGATCTGAGGAAAATCATGAGTAACTTCAACGATCTAAAGGAGTCCCCTAAACCAAACACTCCAGAAAGTGAAATTGAGCCATCTTTCACTAGGTACAACTTCCAGAGAGGGTCTGGGAAATTAAAACCCGTTCGTCGGTGTTCTTCGTCTTTTTCTCGATTCGAACATGGCAAAATAGGGGCCAAGCTAGTTGAGTACATCTCTAGTGATGAGGAGAAGGATGAGGGTAAGAATATGTTCGTAGAGAAGAGGGATGTGTTGGTCCATCCTGAGTCTCCTCAGGGTTCCAGTACAAATCGGCCCCAAAAAGTGCCCCAAAAGGAACTGGTGGTGGTTGTTGACGTTCCTTCTTCACCGGAGGAGGTCACAAGGGTTTTTCCTGAGACTCCTACTGCTAAGGCCACCCCTGGCTCCGGCAGTGAGAGGAAGAGGGCCAGATCTGTCTTCAGCGACGATTTCAGTATGTGGGACCCTGACTACATGTGCTACCTAAGGGACAAGTACCCTCATGACTTCCCCCCCAAACCAAATCTGCAGCGTAACTATTACTAAACCCTAATTTTGATTTCTGTTTTTTTTTTTTTTGGTTTCTGTTTGCCTTGACTGAATAGATCTGTGTTTGTGAGTCCCTTGTTGTGGTTGTTGGTTGATTATGATGTCTGCGTGCTTTATGTTGGAAGTTTGGAAAATTTATTGTACTGTCAAAAACGAGTTTGTTGTTAACAGATCTTGTTTTTAATTTTGTTAGATGGTTGTGTCTATACTGATGTTGATTATTGATTGTGCACTGATGTTGTTGATGGATTCTGGTGGATGGTTTGTATCTTGTGCATGTATTCTGGTCAGATGGTATGTGGGTTGTTGGTGGATTTTTGTTGGTGCATTGATGTTGTTGATGGATTCTGGTGACATTTTTAGCATGTTGTACATGTAATCTGGTCATATGGTTTGTGGGTTGTTGGTGGATTATTGATTGTGCATTGCTGTTGTTGATGGATTCTGGTCACATTGTTAGCATGTTGAACATGTAATCTGGTCAGATGGTTTGTGGGTTGTTGGTGGATTATTGATTGTACATTCATGTTGATGGATTCTGGTCACATGGTTTGTTAGTTTTTGATGGGTTATGGTGGAGTCCCTAGTAAGATTAAGACTGTGTTTGTGCATTGGTAATGGCCAAGGGAATGCATGTTTGATGGATGATGACTTATGTTGGATGTGTGGAGTCCCTTTTCCATGTTCCCTTCTTGTTCTTGCAAGTCAGTGCCTCTTAGTGAAATGAATGAGTCCCCACAATGTATCTTGTCTGTCACTTAATTCCAAATGATGAGGGGACTCACTTTGAGTAGGCTTTGTAGGTTTGTTTTGCTCCAACAAGTTCCTTTAAACACTTGTTGTTGAGGTAACAACATACACAAAGCTACTGAAAAAAAACACCCTGATGGAGTTCACAGTTTGCTATTCATTTTGAAATTCATTGAGTTGCATACAAAAACTTTCACTTTCACAACTAATACACACAATCTTTCCTTACATGACTGCCTAAAGTAATGCATTTATATCTACCAAAATACACATAACCAAATCATAATAAGCATTAAAACAAAAACAGATGCTTACTTTACCCAAAAAACAGTTTTGAGTTCATATTTGGTTAGGTGTGGAAGTCATGTTGTCTTTGAAAGCTTATGTTGTGCCTAGTCTGCATCAACCTCTGTATCCAAGTACTCTTCATGTTGTTGATGAATTGGAATAAAAAGTGTGTTGAGGTGTTCAACTGCTTGTTGAATGAGTTCCCTCTCAACTTCTAGAAATTCTGGCAGTTGTCCTAAACTGTCCAACTTTCTCTTCCCCATGTGAGGTGGATTGAAATTGTTTCCCCCTTCTTTTTCTAGAATCATTTTCATAACACTTTGCAAAGTGATCCATGTATACTTGTTGAGTATTGGATCAAACCATTCATAGGCCTCATACACCTTCTCTATTAACTCCTCAATTTTAGTTGGAAATGACTGGTATTGCAAGGATTAAATGACCTTGAACAATCCAAGATCCAGTACATTAAGATCTTGAGACTGTGCAGGTTGGAAAATCAATTGTATGTTGAACCCATGTGCTGTACATGCTGCCTTGAACTCTTCATCCCTTGGAATTTGATGTGGTCTGGCATTGTCCCATTGAATGAATATGTCCTTAGACAAACTAGGGTGCCATTGCCTGTTTATTGCTGGGATGATGTTAATTAACAACATTTTTCTGATTTCTTCTCTGGTTACACTTTACACAGCCTTTGTTTCTAGAGTCCCTACATCTCTGTTCTTGCTTTTCTTCTTGGCCATTTGCTGGTAGGTGAATGGAAAAATTCCATACTTACCATCATGTAGCATGTTCCCAATTAAGTCATAAAGGGGCTTCCCAATCATTGCCATGAACATTGCCTTAATTTTGTACCTTTTAGACTGCTGACACATGTATGGGTTTTCTTCCTTTGGCAAGAGGTAGAACTGCCTTGTCTCTGGGTTCATGTAGAACCATTTCTCATCTATGTGAATCACTTGTTGCATATCAATGAAAGTTGGATTTCCAACTGGTGGGATTGGGTGAATATGGGCTAATGCCCACTTGAGTCTTGCCACTTTGTGATTTGATGTGAGTGCTGGATGGTTGGCTGCTGTATGTGTTCTGAGTCTGCCCTTTTTCTTCAAGCTCTGAAGGAATCCATGTGATACCTTCAGAGCTGCTGCATAGCTTCTCTCTGTTGTCCTTTTGTATAGAGGCACTGGGTCACGGTCCGGGAGTTTGGACCCCGAAACGTGCGGTACGCTCTAGCCTTTTGGCGGCAAGAACGCTAGCCTTGAGCGGAAGAGGGGCTTGTGAGCACAAAGCAACACAAGCGAGCAATAGAATCTCAGGAGCACTCACGTCTATCTGGGCGACGGAGTGCGGGTGGTCGGGGCTTGTGACGGCCGATACTTCAAAGCGGGCACAAGCGGGTCCGAACCACGAGTCCTTAGCCCATCAAGTTGGGTTGGAGGGGAGCTAATATGCAAGTAAGACACAATATCTATAAAGGTCTAACAACAAACAAGCATAAAAGCAAGGTAACACTTGGTAGAAGGCTTTAAGATTTCATTAATCATTCGCCCTCTAAAGAGCTTTAAATGACTTACAAGGAGAATCCCTAGTGAACACTGATCTGACAGTAACACAATAATGGGACCTCAAGCTAAGAAAACATAACCTAAACTCTAGGAAAGCACTTAAATGGAATCTAATACATCAAAAGGAGTTGGATTCTAACATCCTCCCCCACTTAAGCTGTCGACGACCTCGTCGACTTACAAAAGTTACAACCAAAATTAGAAAACCCTAAACTATCTCAAGTTTCGGATGCGCTGTTGGTGCGGCTATCTTCTGGAATCTTATCTGACTCTTGAGCTAGATCTTCTTTGTTGATGAGGAGCTTGTCTGTGGAGTCGCTCGGCTCGAACATCTTGTTGAGAGCTTCATCTCTAAATTTCCTCCTGGGAGTGGAATCTGTTGAATTAAGGGGGACAGCTTCTTCCACCATCATCTGTTGGGGAGCTACTTCCTTGAGACTGTGGTGGAGAGCTTCAAGTTGTGGCTGGTGCCTCTTGGGTGACCATTTTCTTTGTAATCCCTTGCACGCGCCCTGCGTTGTTTGCTCAACCACTGTTTTTCCTCCCTCTTGGGAGGTTCTTCTTTGGTGTCTCTTTGGTGTCTCTGGGCTCGTCTCTCTTTGCTTCGAACCTTGTGACTGATTCTGGTTTTGGCGGGTGTGTATCTGGGATGTTGCCAACTCCATGGGCTTCATCTCCCGTTTCTCTGGGTTTCTGGTGCGAGCTTGTTTCTTTGATGTTGCCTTCTTCTCAAGCTCCATCACTCGCATTGCCGAAAGATATCGGACTTCTGGTTCTTCTTGAGGTGCTATCATTCTCATAGCACTCAGGCGTCGTATGGAACCCATCCTATATGTGGGCTCCTCATCGCTGCTAGTCTCTTTTGTGGCCTCCTGAACGGACATGGATGACAATCTCTTTTGGATTTTGTCAAGTTCTTCTTTATGCTCGCAATCCCACCATTTGTGTGGACCTCGACAAAGTATGCAGTTTATTGGCCTTGTGTTTGCCGAGGATGCGCCGGCCCTCGAGTTTCCTGAGTTGTGGGAGGGGGTAGATGTTTGTCTCTGGGCATCACCTCCTCCACTTCTTCTATGATATGTATTAATGGTGTTGGACGATACTCGTGAGCCGTTCTCTGTACCCTTTGGAGAGCTTGGAGATGGACTGTTAGAGCGTGTTGACGTCCCACTTGAATCCTTCTCGGATTGACGACCCTTCCCGACTGAGTAGTCCATCAATCTCTCAGCAGCACACATAGCAGCAGCGAGGGTATCAATATTCTGCCTCAAAATCTCTCGCTGCACCCATTCCTTTAGCCCGTTGACAAAGTTGAACACACGATCTTTCTCATTCATGTCTGTGATGTCCAACATTATCGCCGAGTATTCCTTAACATAGTTGCGAAGAGAACCCTTCTGGCGGCACTCTTGCAACTTCATCCGTGCAACAAACGCTGTGTTGACGGGGTAGAATTGTTCTTTGAGTTCCTCTTTGAACTCCGCCCATGTATCAATCTTGATCCTTCCTGCTTCGATGTCTGCGTGCTTGGTGCGCCACCACAGCTTAGCATCTTCGGACAAGTACATGATGGCAGTATCCACCTTCTGATCGTCACTTAGTTGACATATTCGGAAGTACTGCTCCATGTCGAAGAGGAAGTTATCAACTTCTTTCGCATCTCTAGCGCCACTGTAGTCGCGAGGTTTGGGCGGCTTTATCTTCGCCGCACCAACACCCAGTGTGTCTCTGCCCACAGCGTGCGTTAAGGTAGCACATTTCTCAAGTGCTTCGTCGGCTTTTCCTTGAACAAATTGCAATTGTTCGCGGAGGGCATCTCTGTTAGCCATCAATTTCACAATTTGCTCGGCTTGCTCGTGTACAATGACTTGGAGCTCGGCCCATTTGTCCGCCTTCTCCTCGAGCCAAGCGAGCCTTTCTTCTACGAATTCCATCTTCGTGTAGCCCTCCTTGGTGCCTACATGGGTTGCTTGCGACGAGGTTTGAGCCTCGGCTCTGATCAACTGTCACGGTCCGGGAGTTTGGACCCCGAAACGTGCGGCGCGCTCTAGCCTTTTGGCGGCAAGAACGCTAGCCTTGAGCGGAAGAAGGGCTTGTGAGCACAAAGCAACACAAGCGGGCAATAGAATCTCAGGAGCACTCACGTCTATCTGGGCGACGGAGTGCGGGTGTTCGGGGCTTGTGACGGCCGATACTTCAAAGCGGGCACAAGCGGGTCCGAACCACGAGTCCTTAGCGCATCAAGTTGGGTTAGAGGGGAGCTAATATGCAAGTAAGACACAATATCTATAAAGGTCTAACAACAAACAAGCATAAAATCAAGGTAACACTTGGTAGAAGGCTTTAAGATTTCATTAATCATTCGCCCTCTAAAGAGCTTTAAATGACATACAAGGAGAATCCCTAGTGAACACTGATCTGACAGTAACACAATAATGGGACCTCAAGCTAAGAAAACATAACCTAAACTCTAGGAAAGCACTTAAATGGAATCTAATACATCAAAAGGAGTTGGATTCTAACACACTGACTACAAGTACTCATCACTAAAAAAATGGCTGGGGTCCTGTTTTCCCCAATTTTTTGCTTCTGACATCAATGACATTCCCTTGTGCTATGTTGTCTAGTACAAACTGCCACACCCTTGTTGTTGTGCTTCTGTGTACCCCATACTATTTTGCCACTGTTGACAAAAACCCCCTAGGTAGTTGCCCCTCATGCATTTGCAGAAGGAACTCATCAATAATTTGGCGTTTCTTTTACACTGTTAACTGCTTCCTACTTGTTGCCTGTCCCTCTGCTGTTTCCTCTTCTGCATTGTTGTCCCCCTCAATTTCTTCATCCATGTTGCTTTCATCAGTATTGTACTGAGATGGTCCTTCATGTAGTAGTTGGTCTATATCAAAAAATTCCTGATCAAAGGACTCTTCCATGTGTTGTGTGTCCCAATCTGTTTCCTTGCACAGATTTGAAGGTTGGTGATGAAGTTTTGGTTGATGATGTTTTTTTAAGTCCTGTTGAAGCAGAACCTCGTTGTTGCCCAATGTCTAAGGCTAATTGTAGTTTAGGCGGTTTAGATATTAACCTAACTTAAATGTAATTTATGGGGTCTTTTGTGAACTAATGGTGGAAGCTTTTGGAACTTGTTGTTGTTGTTGGAACCTGGATGTTGTATCTGTTGGATTGGTTGAACAATTTGAATGTCTTTTTATAGTAGGCAGTTTAAATTTGAAAAGTGGTGTTGTTTAATTTTTAGCTAAATTTTTAAAATGAGTCAAATGTTGGATTTTGGTGGGAAAACTAAATTTTAGGGATGAAATTTGATTCCTCCCCAAAATTTAAATATTGGCAGGCAAAGTTGTAAACAATGTGGGAATCAAAAATTTTGGGAAAAAAAAGGAGGGAACTTGAATTCCCTCCTTTATCCAGCGAAATTCAGAAGGTGGGGGGGACCTTAGTGGTCCCTAAAGGCACCTTTATCCCACTATATAAAACCCACCCAAATTAAAAATTATGTGGGACCCCTTCTTTTCCTCCATTTTCCTCCTTAATTAAACCCACCCAACTACAATTAAAACTCCCTAAAAGTTTTACTTAGGAGTCCTGCGCATACACACTAACCAGACCAATCAAATAGCAAAGCTACAAGTGTAGCCAAAAAGAAAAATCTTTTTGTATTTTTGTTTGAAAAACTAGACTCAAGAAATCGAAAAGCAATTAACAAACACCGTTCCCCGGCAACGGCGCCATTTTGACAAGGGTTAAATCGGTCTCTACAATCTAACTCTCAATCAAACAATACTTATACGAACACCCTATAACCAAGTACAATGGCAAATAAAGGTTTGGTCCACGAGGAACGAGAGTCATTGCAAATCAATCTTAAACCTAAGCTAGTTCGAAATCAATGGAAAATGGTGTTCTAAAATACTACTAATAAGATGGAATAAATCAATAAACTAAGACACTAGGGAGAACGGGAATTCACCAAACCATCGGTAACTACGCAACAAGGAATCATAGAGACAAACGGGATATGCAAAGACTATAAGTCTGATCAATATCGCGCGATAGGAAGACAACGGGCAATACCAAGCTTGGATTTCTCATGCACTTAACATTACTCGATACATAATCAAACCACATTCAATAATGAAATACTCAATTCACAATCTCTTGTTCAAACCGAGAATAACATGCAATCAAATTCAAGATTCTAGGTTAGCTACTCCTATTATAGTGAATTAACATGCAATCGCATATAATCAATTTAATCACAATCCGTTTATCAAAATCAAACCTTAATTACGTAGATTACCTAGGCCGGGTTTCATCCCGAAACCCTAGCTAGGAAACTACTCACACATATTCATAATCACAACAATAATAGATTCCATAAACATCATAGATCTAAACATAAATTCTGATTAAGGAATAATAAAGCTAGATTAATAAACAAGAATGAATAATACCAATTGTATTGATGCGAATCAATGGAAAAGTTCAGAACTTTGATATCCGTCGTCAATGAATAATACAAAGAATCTTCACAAATCTTGCTTCAAATCAATCCAAGAAACAAAAATCGCTAGAATAATCTTTAAGAAAACTAATGAATCTCTAATACCAAGAACGTTCTCCAATAACTCTCTACAAAGGGCTCCCAAAAACTATCTCTAAAACTGTCTAAAAACGCCCCTTAAAGTCGGGCCTTATATACGTCTTCTAATTCGGAGAAGTCAAGCGCGCAGTCGACCCTGGATCAGCACGGCCGTGCTATATTTGGAACGGCCGTGCTAGCTTGTCAATAGCTAAACCGGATTTCTTCTTCAATTTGGCACGGCTGTGCTAGAATTGGCACGGCCGTGCTAAAGATGACATGGCCGTGCTGAATATGCTCTAGCACGGGGCTCATACTGAAACTGACACGGGCACGGGCAACATCTGGCACGGCCGTGCTAATGGCCTGCACGGCCGTGCTGGTGCTTGGATACTGACACGGCCGTGCTAATGGCTTGCACGGCCGTGCTGCCTTGCTTGGGGCTGCTTGCTCATAGGCCAGCACGGGTGTGCCTATGGTGACACGGCCGTGCTGCCTGTGCTATGTAATTAATGCACGGCACTTGAACTTCCTTAACTCCTCGGACTTCAGTCAAGGCCAGCTCGGTTACGCATCAAGAGCTCGGGATCCGACTAAACTCGGTTGATATTACCTGAAAACACATCAAAAACAAACTGAAAACCCGTGAAGCACGTAATATAGGGGACATAAGCATAACAAGGTAATAATCGGCCAAAATGGCCCCAAATACATCCAAAATCATCCTAAAATATGCTCTTAAGCGCGCCCTAAAGTGCGCTTGTTAGAGTCCGCATTATTGTCCTTTGTTGCACATAACTACGGGCGGAGGAGTATTAGAAAAAAAGCGAGGTTACACTATTTTATTTTATTGTGTGACAAGAAAAAAGAGGAAGGTTTTCCTTCCCTAATTTATTTCACACGTGCAAAGTTTTTTCACCCAAAATTACTTTTCTCTCTCCTCGTTCTCTTTCATGAACTTCCCTCTCTCTTCCTCGTTTTTTCCTGTCTCCTCGCCATTGCTCAAAGCTTTCTCTCTCTTCAATTTGTTTCTATTTCTTCGGCGATTCAAGCTTTCTCTCTTCCATTTGCGATCTACCTTTGTTATCCAGGTTTGTTATCTTAATTTTTTGTGTTTTTCTTTGTATGCTGTAGTTTTATTTTTAGAAATTTTAAATCAATTGATTTTATCGTTTTTTCAGTAATTTTTTATTCGTGAACACTGCAATGAAGAAGACTAATCTAATTTCTGATGAAGTTGATCTACATGCAGGTACATTTTCTCTTTTATTTTTTTTTTATTTTGTTGTTATGTGATGTCGATCTTCATTATTTTGATTTGTTTGAGTGATTGTACCGTTTTTTCATGATTATTGTTGACTTTCTGTTTATTTTTGATTTAGATACTCTGTTTTGCATATGTAGCTTAATTTTTTAAGTGATTTTCATTATTCCTGCTATTTTACACCGTATGATTCATAAGTTATGCAATTAGAGAAATTCTTATAGTTTGAGTTTAGTGATTTTCATGTTATTGTGCTTTTATTGTTTTAATTTATGTTCTTGATTATGAGTTCTTTTGTTTTTGTTTTAATATTTAGTGATTTTCAATTTTTCATGTTACTGTGTTGTGATTTTTTTTTAAATTTTTTTCTAATGATGATCGGCTAATGAATTGTGTTGTTAACTGATATAGTTTGTTTTCTAGTCATGGAATAGTTTAGACCAGGATTTAAATAGTTTTGATCATGGTTGAGCACTTGATAAATAAAGACAATGTTTCTATAGTTCATCACTGTTATGCAACTTGGGTGAGTATATGAGTCATTTTTGTGATTAAATGGGTCACTTTTGTGATTATACGGATAACATGTGACTATAGAACTACTCTTTTGAGAATAGAGTGTCACTTTTGTGAAAATATTGGTAACTTTTGTGAGTATATGAGTAACTTTTGTGAGTACAATTCTAAAACCTTGCCACCAGGTAGCAAACACAATATCCTGAGGCTAATAACTTTGCAAGCGGTTCTTATTGGTTTGAGTTACATTATAAAACTGAACCAAACAATATAATGCCTACATTTGGCTGAAGTCCAGTACAATTGTAATACATGGACACCTGAAATGACACTGATGGCAAATATCAAAGTCGAACACAATAGCAATTTGTCATCACAAAATATAAATGTTGCCCACTTTTTCTCCTTGGAGCACACATTTAAAAGTTAAGGAGATATAAAAGGCAGGTTGCCTCTTGTGCCATCTTTACCTTTTTTTTATCTTTTATTGTAAGAGACTATGGTCTTCAGAAAATAATTATGGAGTCACTTTTATTCCTCGTACATGTTTCTTGTTCTCTATGAATTCTCTGTATCCTATTACTACTTGTTGGATGGAAATGGCGTCTCAGGCCTCACCAAATCTGTAGATAATGGAGTCTCAGGCCTTAGGCCTCACTAAGCTCATAAATTATAGATATGTGGTTCTCCTATAATTTCCTTTTAAGCAAGTTGTGTTTAAAGTTATTACTCATGAACTAAAGAACACTTTATCTATTGATACAAAGCTTATTGAGCAGCTATGTAGCATTTCATGCATTGCAGCCTGAAGTGCATATGAATACACTCTTTATGGGATGGGGTTTTTCACTTGTTCCATACATTAGATTTACTATTTACTTACCTAGTGTTACTGATTATTGTTTTTTTTTTAAATCTGATTTGTAATCAGATACTGTTTGGGACTTGGTTGTCCTTGATTTTCTACAGATTGAGGGCTTGATTGTACTACCCACTTTAGGAGAAGTCATGTCGCATAGAACCTATTTACAAGGAATGCATATAGGATGGCATTCTTTGTAAATAGGTTGAAGTTGTGTGGGGACTAGGTGCCATCTGGTAGAAAAAAATAATGGGGCAAAGATAGGGAAACGGGGAAACCAAAATCTAAGCAGGAAACCAAAATTAAGTCTGACAAAGCAACTTTCCTCTTTCTTCCCAAAGCAAAGTATTACTGTCCAATGGAAAATGGAGCGAAATTAAATTGAAGGCATTGAAATCTCTCAGGTGCACTAAAACCACTCAAATGTCATAAATTTGACATTGGAAATTGAGGATGAGAACAAGGTTAGCTGACATTCGTGGAGTGGATTTAGCTGAAGCACTTGGTGACGGTGGAGAAGACGGGCATGGCTGCACTAGGGAGCTGCGATTTGATTGTGAAAATGTAAGTTTCGTACATGCATTATTGTAATTATTCGGTAGATTTGAATTTAATTTTTAGAGTTTGGTATTAATTTTGGAAATGGAAAAGTGTGATGTAGTTGTTTAGAGATGGTTATTGTCATATTGATAATTTAGTAGTTGGTTTGGCCTAGCTTTGTCGAAAAATCGAAAGAATGGATGTATTTTGTAGATGTTGGGATTAAATGAACTTAATTTGGGGATTTTTGCATTGAGCTGAATTGTTCAATGTTGGTATTTGATGACCTTGTCTGATGTTGAAGCTTGTTGTTGATTTTCTGGAGTAAGTTGCTATGATTTAATTAGTTTCTATGGCTTTGTTGGTATGATGCAATTGTACAATCTTGCTATGACTTTGCTAGAATTGTGGTACAATGTTGCTATGAGTTTTTTATAAAGTTGATTCTGTTGTAGGATGTATATTGTTGCGTTTGTTTGTATTGGGTTGAGTTTATAATAAACTTGTTAGTTGATGGTGTTAATGGGTTGTAATTGGTTTGTTATAAATGATATGTATAATCTATGTAGGATGGTTTGATTGATGATAATGTAAATGAAGGTGAGGATGATGTATGTGTCTGAGGCAGGAGGTATAGGAGAGGATGTGAATGAAAATGCAGAATAGGAAGAAGAGGGGTCAGAAGAAGAGGGAGGATATGGGTCAGATGGTGAGGAAGTACAAGAAGTTGCAGAAGATGATGTTGTTAGGGATGTAGAGGTAGGGGGGTCTAGGGTTATGACGACCCCGAGGAAGAGGGTTATTATGAGCATTGTTTTTGGTGAGGAAGAGGAAGTACCACCCCCTGCTATGGGGATGGTTTTTGACAGTTGTGATGATGTTGATAGTTATTTTTGGAGGTAAAGGGGATTTAGTATCGTTCGGGCTGCGTCATGGGTGGATAAAGGTGAAGAAAGAATTGGGATATGGAAAGTGTTGTAAACAAAGGAGGAATGCGACGTGGACTTGTGAGTGCTACGGAAAACCATCTAGGAAGCGTAAAGTTAATCCTCTTAGGGAAGGATTGGAGCAAGATGAGGAGATAGTTGTTAAAAGGAAAACAAAAAAATGCGGATGTGGTGTAGAGTTGTATGCTACTATTAATGAGGAAGGGAATTGGGTGGTTAGAAGGATGAAGTTGGAACATGATGGTCACATTGTCACACCAAGAAAGTCCAAGGATGTGTCGATGTTTCACAAACATGAGTTGATGGTTAAAAATAAACACTTGGTTATTCAGACATGTGTTGCAAGGAAGTCTAGGGTAAAGGTATCTTGAATGTATAGCTCCTTTGCTCGAGAGCGTGAGGAATTGGCATTTACCCCGGAGAATGCAGTCTCCGTTGCTTAGCATAAGAAGCTGGAGCTCACAGAGAGTGATGCAAATGGTATGATTGAATACTTTAACAAAATTGAGTGCACACAATTAGAACTTTTTCCACCTTTGTAGGTTTGGAAAGGATGGTGCCTTACAGGATGTTTTGTGGGTTGATGCTAGGAGTACAGCTGCGTACGAGGAGTTTGGTGATGTAGTTTGTTTCGACAGCACATACTTAACAAACAAATTCCACCTCCCCTTTGCTGTAATCATTGGGGTTAATCATCATGGGCAGAGTATAATGCTTGGATGTGCATTGATCTCTCGGGAGACTGCCGAGACTTATGAGTGGGTCATGAGGACATGGCTGCATTGTATGGGTGGTAAAGCTCCCATATTGATCCTTATCGATCAAGATCCTGCGATTAAGAAACCTGTGTTGGTGACTATGCAAGGCACGTACCACAGGTGGTGCATATGACACATTCCCGGTAAGCTGGAGTTGTACGATGCTATAAAGGATGAGTTGGAAAATATCATATATGGTAGTTTAGAGGCAGAGGAATTTGATACTCGCTGGTTAAAAGCAATAAGGTTTTATAATCTGCAAGCGAACACTTGGCTTGAAGGTATGCTTGCAGCACATTTTAAATTTTTGATATTGAATGTTTGATAAAGAGGAAATAAAAATTCAGGAAATATTTTCTGCTACATGGGTGTTTGCAATTCAGTTTTATTTGTAATTGGCGGGTGTTGAATTTGTTGCTAAATTGCTCTCATATTTGCTGTCCTTTTTGGTGTGCTTGATTAGTTCTTAAATTTTGAAATAGAGATTAGTAGTGTGTTACAAATATACAAACCAAAGCTATAATCTGATACTTCTTAAAGTATGATAATGTTACATGTTATCTAATGCTTGGAGAGTTTCAACCATTTCTTCAAAGGCTATGTTGACAAGAACAAAACTTTGTCAGAGTTCGTGCTATGCACTCCGGTATGTCAGACATTTGGCAACTGACTTTTCTGTAGAAGAGTTGTTCCAAAAGTGCTACAACGATTTGAAATTCAAAGAAGTGCAACGTGAGTGTACCAAGTCTTTATATGTGCATTACTTGGATTAAATAGAACTTTGTGAGAACAATATTGAGATCATTATTGAAGATCGTGTCTGGATCAAGCCTAAAGGAGTAAGGAAAGAAAGTGTTACTAAAATTCGGAGATGCTATAGGGTGCTTTACGATGCTCAATCTTATGAGAGGCATGTTGTGATTGTAAACATTTTGAGTGCCATGGCATCATTTGGCGACATGTGATCCACGTGTACCTTTAAGAATGATGTTTCGGAGAAATATGTTCTTCGGCGGTGGAGGAAGGATGTTCAAAGGAAACATACAAGAGTCAAATGATTACCATGACCCTTTCAAGACAGATGAAGTGCGGTAATACCAGAAGCTTATGGTGTCATATGAACCAATATGCTCAAAGGCTTCTGTTTGCCAAAGAGAGTGTGTTGAAATTATGATCGAGATGCTGCAATTGATGGATATAAGAGTTGATGAAGTACTAGCAATGGTGGAGAAAAAACGGCAAGATAAACTGACAAACAATGATACTAAACAGGCAAATGTCGACGACGCCTTCCGGTTGGTATTACTATCCATCTACTCATGCTCCTGTCAAGGCATCCCAAACACATCTACTACTCCTAGTTCTGCTTTTGATCATTAGAGATCCACCCTTGCCAAAGAATAAGGCATATAGGACTACCAATGTTAGATACCCATCATGCACAGAAAAAAAAAAAAAGGAAAAGAGAAAGCTACAAGAGCAAAAAAACCATGCAAAGAAGGCAGCTGCTGCGAAACACCTTTGTGTCACTGTCGACCAATGAATATATCCATAGCATATTTTACTTTTCTAGGTACTGGACCATCTAATGTGGCAACTAATTTAAGTTGCATGACTCTTATGTTGTGATTGCGGAAAACATTTGTGGAACAAAGTTTGGGAGAACATGTACCACCGAGGTTGTGATTTTCAGTAGTACAATTCAGAACCCGAATATAGCCCATTAAGAAATGAAGTGGTACAAATTATGATTTTATTTAAATTCAAAGTTATTGTTTTCTAAACCCAAAATTATTCACATAAATTCAGATTTTAATGAGATCTTATTATAACCATTATTTTCTGATAATATTACTGAAACTAATTGGCGTTTAATATTAAGTCTTTTGTTAATTGTGCATTACAACAAAAAAAAAATATGATGGCAATACATGGATAAGGAATTGTCCAAGTTGTATCGGATGTTGTGCATCCAGCAGTGGTACAAAAGTATATCATAAACCTAACCAGAAGGGTACCACTTGTTAGACTTAGGGTACCAATACTTGAAAAGATTACCAATGAGAAATGGGATGATATGTAACCTTGTGTTTAACTTTTTGAAAATATAACCAAATTGGATTTTTAACCATATGTTACTATTAACTCATTGACGGTGTGTTGTGTATTTATTATAACTTAGTCCCTGCGCTTTGTATTAGAAATATGTATATAAGTCTGTGTATAAAATAGGCGAGATTCATAACCCTTGTTAGGAATAAGTCTTTGGTTTATAGATTATGAACACGTAATACCAATATTTCATAGGACCATTAACTTTGTAACACCAATTTCACATTTGACTTCAATGTGACATATATAAACAAAAACTAATCGAAACACATAATTATGTAATTTCCCTAGACATTCCCATATGTCTACCTCTTTGTGTAATTGTACTATTTACGGTATAAATAGTTGGTAGGAAAACACCTTTGTGTTAGTAATGATACATTTTAATCATACAAAATTAGCTAGTCAAAAGTACCACTACATGAACAATGGTACTGTAATTGTACCAATGGATCATTTTCAGACTCGAAAAAATTGTACCATAATGGTATATATAGTGGTTTATATTGCTAATAGAAAGGGTTCCATTGTGTTGGGTTAGGGTACAATTGAAATACCCTAATGTCCTTATTTAATACCAAGTGTTAGTCACTTATGTGTATGTACCTAATACAAGATATTCGATGTCTTCAAATTGTTTTTGTTGCAAATTCATATTACTATCTACATATCGTTATATAATACAAACTTTGTGTTACTGGTGGTTGTACAAAATAGAATTGAAGCTACTAATATGCTTAAAGTGTTTTAGACATGCAAACGTGTTACTATCTATGTATCCTTATGTAATACTATGTTTTAGTTGATTTAGGTTGTTCTCCTATTAATGTTTTTGTGTTTTGGGTTATGAATTCAATAAATAACTACTACTTAGGTGGTAATTTTAACTCTTATCTTACTTTATTCCATAAAACATCAATTTGTGCATAAAATGGAACATTTCTGACAAAGTAGTATTTTTAGTCATATGTAATGTACTCATGTAATATTAACGGTACATGTGACCATGCCATTGGTATGACTGGAAACCATAGATGAGTTGATGGTATGATAATAACAAGGGTACCACTGAATAGGTTATGGAATATTTGATCATATGAAGGGTATACCTGAAAACGGTGGAGCTAGATAGAGTGGTATTTGTCAATTTGTACTATTTGCGATAATAGTGGTACAATGTTATGCAGTGAAAATCCCGCTAGTACCTAGAGGTGGTACATTTTGGTAATACAAAGGGTTCCATGGTGTTGGGTTAGGGTAGCATTGCAATTCCCTAGTTAATAAATTTGTGTATGTCTCCTTATTTAATACATAGTTGATTTAACTCATTTGCCAAATATAGGGTACCGATATGTTTAAAGTGTTTTTGTATGCACACAAATACTATCTACCTATACTGAATTAATACTATCTCCATGATCGAGCTGAATCCGAAGAGGTCGTATTATAAATGCCGCCAATGTGGGATTTGGGAATGGGATGTTGACTCGGACCTTGTGAAGGATGGACCACTGAACAACATAGGTGGAGTAGTTCATAGGGTGGAGGCGTTAGAGCATCAAAGCATGAAGATCGTGAAATTTGGCCTCACAATTTTAATTTTAGCCATCTTGTTGTATTTCAAATGTTAATTAGTTCATGGTCTGCCTTGTTAATTAGTTCATGGTCCGCCTTCTTGTTAGTGTATGGGGGGGGCGAATTACTATTAGAAATTGTAGCAATTTTTGTAACCAGTGTAATTTATGCTACGGTTCAATTAAAAGACCAATTTTGTGTCCTTATAAATCTCATAATTATGGATTACTAGATTATATAAACTATCTACACCCAATGGCACTTAACAAAGACTACAATGTACCACTAAAACACGAGTAGTACTAAAAACTAGATATAACATACGGTTATGGTTTAAGTAACCACATTTAATTCAAGGGTAAAGTAAGAATCCAGTGGGAGATTTTTTGCTCAACTATGCAGGTGAAATAGTATAAATTAATCCCATTGGGATGATTTTTTGCTTCTATTGATAAGACAAGTCTTTGGCCTACTTTTTTACACCTATGGGGGGTAAGTACCCTAAACTGCAATAGATCCAGTTATTGACCGTTGTAACTCGGTAAAACACTCCAAAAATTGTTCAAAATTTCATTTTCTCTCCTTTTCCTTTAACTATCTCCCTTAAACAAAGATTGTAGAGTCCCTCTTGTAGATTTCAACTCCCTCAAACAAACACCCCCCCCCCCCAAAATCCGAATAATGGCTGTAAAGAAAACAAACTCCATGTTCCAACTCACCCATCCTTCAACCTCTATTCAACTCATTTTATCCCACCCAGAACAACCATTATTGTACTTTCAAAAAAAATGAAAGGGACACCAATGAAATTAACATAAACTTGGTGAAGTACTTTAGGAGCAAATACCAAATGTTGAATGAGATATATCAACATGTGACCAAAGTGAGAGCACATCTTCTACAATCAATGTGCTGTCGAACGGATTTCATGCTTCTCGAAGATGGCAGCCCTGTTTTGGGACATCTTTCTCTGTTGGAGGACTTGGTAGGTTACTACAATGAAGGAGTTTGTGTGATGTTTTTTTGGGGTGATACATGGGTTCTTATCTTCGGCGAACACAATACCACCCGAGTTGGCTGAAATAATTAACATGAAACCTACTTTGAACACCGAATCTGTAGTACGATAAATTCTCGCTATGAATTGGCGCCACATATTCATTGGCTTGTATACGGATACGCTCCACATGATGAAGGTCGACATTGCTAATACCCACATTAGGCTCCAAGTTGAGGGCTGCACAATGAAGTTGAAGGTTAATGACTGTATACCCATTCGTAAACACTACCACCGGGTTAGTTACAGAGGAGAAGATCGAGTCTCATCCCATGGCTACGGTGTGGTCGACCATGGATCGGTGGTTCTCTATTGGAACGCCCGAGGGTGCACAAGGATCTCCTTTGTCCATCAGTTTAACCCCCTTTTACTAATCATACTGGAAGCTCGTATTGGTTACAAATACGTGAAGACTTGGATTATGCGTAATCTCCTTGCAAAATATGAAATCGAGAATTTTGGTCCGGAAGGAGACGGGATTCCAGGAGGAGTTCTGATGCTTTGGAAGCAAAAACTACTAAGGCCCAATTTCTCTTACAGATCGCTTGTACTAAATGGCATGGTTGTGGATGATGAGTTCCAGGTATTCTGTTGTTTAAAGTCCATGGTGTTGAGGTTTTGAGAGTAATTTTTCTTGAATTTTAAGTCATATTTTTTTTGCAATTGTAGGCTACCCCCCCCCCCCCTCCACGATTCCCACGGTTTGTTGAGCTGAACAATGACCTATACACTTCAGACGAGGAGGCTGAACCAAACAACCACTATTTCAATTGTGGCTTGGCTTTCGATGGCTCGAACCACCATTGGGGGTTAGGAAAAGACTTTTGACAAAGCACAAACCAGAATGGAAGGATCAAGGGTTAGGGCAGCTCTTTTATTAGCATTTTATGTTCGTTCTTGTGTTGTACTTTAATTAGTAGCTTCATAGATTTCCTCCTAAGACTAATGTCCGTTTTGTCGTAGTTTTACAACATTATGCAGTCTAAGTATTTATGTTTAAGTAAGGTAATGTTACGTACTTCGTCTTTGGTAACTCGCTATTTTCAGTTCATATAGGTACTTACAACTGAGTATGTTTCCAATATTGCCTAATTCCTTACATCAACTCCATGTATTCTACAACTAAAGTGTTATAATTCTTTTTTTCTTTTTTTTTTTTTTTTGAATAAATAGGCAAACTGAACTAGTACTCATAAGTGGAACTTTTAATAGGTTGCAAACTGAGGAAAATGTACTGCTAATTTAAAATGGCATAACTAATGTGCTACTGACAAAATATGTAGAGCTATTTGTACTGTATAAAAATAGGATGGGTAATGTGCTACTGAGGAAAAATAGGCCGAAAAATATGCTCTTCATACAAAATGGTACAATTCATGTTGATATAAGGTATCACTACTCTACAAATTGTACTACTATGATAAATGGGACAATTCATACGTTGCATACTCAGTAATTGTTTATCATAATGAACAGGTAACACCATTAACATATAAATGAAACTATTTGAAAACCTCAAAAGGGAACTAGTGCACCACCAAAATTAAAGTTTGGTACACTGCCAAAACAGATAACTTAGCCACATAGTTAGGCACCTAGTACAACACACAGTTAGGCCAGGCACAAAGACAAGTTCATCACGTACTTAAAAAACAAATATTCACATAAAAGGGAGCACATCAAAAAACCACCACCCCCAACAACCATATCGTTCATTTGTCACTGATTTCTGGTAGAGGTCCTTGGACTTGGAACCAAGGATTCCAGGGAATCCCTCAGCTCGTTCACATCACATTGTACATCATCCAACAACAGATTATTTCTTGCATTAGGAATATTCCCCTGTAAGCTCACAAAACCAGAAAAGATAAGTTTGCAATGAATAAAACGTTTTGGATAGAAACACACACACGTCACTTCCACTTACCACACTAAACCTCCTGGTGAACCGCCTAGCAAAGAATTTGATGCAGGCTAGCGTGAGGACACCACAATATGAGCTGCGAATAATACAATTTATCAGTTGCGAATAGTACAATTTAGACATAATTCCATGAATCAACAAAAAACGTAGACAAGTACTCACTTATCGCCAGGATCCATGCACTCAACAATGTTTCTACTCCAAGAACAGATCCGACCAATTGTCCATTGTGGGTCAATCATCTGAAAAAGTACATCAATACCTTTCACCTGTGTGCCATTACAATAACATGGTATGACACGGGAGTGTACGATTACATTCCAGCTTGTCAAAACACGAAAAACACAGCATACAATCAACAAAAAAAGAAGTACAACGATGAAGCGTTCGGTTAAATAACATAAGATCAAATATCTCAACATGTTTTTCGAATGGATCAGGATACAAGGAATCAATCATCCAGAGCTTTCGACCCTTCATATCCAGAGCCAAGCACCACCGGTGGGAGTTGTCGGGGAAATCCTTGGGAACTTCGAGGACTGGAATGAACACCTGCTTCATTGCCAATCAGCCAACAAGTGTCCACACAGTATTACAATTCCATGGGCGGTTAAAGCGAAAATACATAGTCAACAATTGGGATTTAGTGACAAACCGTTTGAATCTGCGAAAGCTTGTAGCTTAATAAAACTTTGCCATACTTGCTAGCAATATGTTCTTCTTTGCCTTCTTCCTTCAACATGATTCAATCCTATATCAAATAAAACAAACCAACATAATATTTCGTATTCATTCCATTCCATTCCTTATTTAATAAGGTACGCACACAACACATTGATTTCACGCTACAATGGAGTACTTATCGCAAAGCTTGGGTCAAGCAAAATATGCTTGCTCTGTTGAGAAAGTCTTTGGTTGCCCATTGCTTTGTGTCGAGCACACTGGCCATCCTGACATAACCAGAGGAGACCCTTGATTTAGGATGCACTACACCAAAGCAATCCTTCTGATTGGCTTTCATATTATCACATTTGATCAAAACAATGCCAGGGCTAGCAACACATCAAACCAGCAATAAACCAGTTAAACATATATAACTTAATCCTTCAACAATTAACATCATTTAAAAGAAACAAAAAAAAAATAGTAACTTAATCAGAAAATGGAGAATTACCAAAGTGGGTCATTCAGCTCCTTCCAACGGCGTACGTACTGCAGCAGACATGCCTCCAGCGTCGTATGCCTTCGTATCTTTGACACATTCGTGAACATTGCTGACAAAGCTTTATCGGTAGGCTTCACAACCCTCTTCTTTGCAGTACCGTCCCCGTTCCTAGTGACGTCTTCTTCCCCTTTAGATGAAGAATAACTCCCCAAACTACTCCCACGATCAAACAATACGTTTGTGCCCCTCGTACCAAGCAATCGATCCCAGCACTACCTCAGCTCCAGGCCGTGCATATTGTCCTCATCAGTTTTAGAATCACCGCTTGGGAAATCACTCATTTCAACAGCATTGATCTCAAAACCATCCTTATTTGCATTCACACCTACTTATTCACCAATTTTCTGAACCAGCCCATTCAACTCTTCATCATCCTCAACCAGCCCATTCACCTCCACCTCTTTTGGAGCCTTGTTTACATGCTCAACCTCTTTAGGAGCCTTTTTTAGATGCACAACCTCTTTAGGAGCCTTTTTTAAAACAGGCTCAACCTTAGAAGGAGCCTTTTTTACAACAGGCTCAACCTCAGAAGGAGCCTTTTCACCAGCATCCAACACAGAGAGGTCAACAACCCCATTCAACACATGTTGACCACCATTATCAACCCTCATACACTCAGTTTCCTTCACAACCTTATCAAGCCCCAAAGATTCAGTTCCCTTTCCAACATGCTAAACACCAGGAACCAAACCAGAAACTGCCACAAAGCCATCCATTTTTGCTAAAACTGTTTGCCTACCATCCGCCTCAACCGTTTTGTTAACAACAGGAGCACCAACTGCCATTGATGACAATCTCCTTGCAATAGCTGTGTCAATACAGCTTCCCATCAAGTCAGTGAATGACTGAAAAACATTAGCAACTTTTTTTTATCTATAAAAGATACCAACAGAGGAGTCAACCTCTCCATCACCTACGATTCAGAATGAAACAAATCAATTTATTTGCAATAATTGAGCATCACACACAACCTACAATTAACAACACACTCAACTGGTGGTACAATTTAACACCACACTCAACCAGTGATACAATTTAACAACACTCAACCAGTGGTACAATTTAACACCATACTCAACCAGTTGTACAATTTAACACCACACTCAACCAATGGTACAATTTAACACAACACTCAACCAATGGTACAATTTAATACCACACTCAACCAATGGTACAATTTAACAACACACTCAACCAGTGGGTAACCTATGCATTACTTTTAACCAGCAACATTAAAATAAAATGAAAATTTGACAAACTAATGTATACCTTCTCCGTAATCCGACCTTCTACTTCTGAATTCATTCTTTCATCACGCGATGACAATGGATGTGGCTCACCGTACGCAATATTCAGAGACTACAACACAAAAGCACATACTAATCACCAAAACATCATTTACAAAGGTTTTACAAAACTACTACTACAAAAAAAAAAAGATAACTCACCGGCAGCCGTCCACCGTCACCACCTTCATATTTGTCATCTGACACAACTTCATTTATTTTTTCTTGCGACCAAGCCTGCAATCTCGGCGTCATACCCCATGATATGGGAACGCGATTCAGATGGTCAAGGTAAAAAATCTGTACAAAATAAAATAAAAAAAAACCATTACTATAAGATGTAATAAAAGTAACACACCAATATTAATAAACAAAACCAAAATTCAAATAAAATACACTGACTACCTACCAACACAAACAAAATACATCCACCGGATCCGGCAACATATCCCTTTTCTTGAAACTTCTTTTGGAACTTCCTTGCTGCAGTGCACATCCACTTATACACCCATGTGCACCAGTTATACTCCACCGTTTCATCATACAGAAGCAATGTTGAGGTGAAAGAGGCAACACATTCCCCTCACTATAAATTCAGCCTTCTCAACACCACTAGAAAGAGGCAACTATAAGAAAGACAATCTTGAATTCAGCCTTCTGAACATCACTAGAAAGAGGCAACACATTCCCCTCAATGTCAGTTCGAATGACTCACTCGGCAGCTACTGAGCGATAACGAGATATTCTCACCACCAGCCTTTGAATACCTTTGCACTATTCTTCTTGCCTCTGTCTGCATCTCTTCATTGTCTGCCGGAATCCTTGCTGGAATTTCCTGGGAACCCATTGAAATCCTAAGCACATACTCCACCTGAACAGGGCTCAGTGGAACAACATACTGATCACCAAAGACAAGGGAACCTTCCCCATCGACCCTTGTCAGTAGCCAGTACGCAAATTTACGAGGCAAGTAAGTAAGTGGAATCTTTAACAATCCCCCAAATCCCATTTCTGTCACCACCTTCTTCCTGGAGTCATCAAACGTGTGCACTATACTACCAAAGGCCTTCACACCATTCAAATTAGGGGCCTACACCAATAAGTAAAAATTAACTTAAGTCATTAAGGCACCCGACCAAATTAGTTCAACCACAACATTGCTTCATTTCATAATTCAATCATTCTCTCCTTAAAACTACTAATTTCTTTAACACTTAACTCAATTACACCGACACATTTCACTAAAATATGAACTCCATGTCAGACTAATTACTCCCTCCACATTCACACAACACTACACCAAGACTTGAGTTCAAATACCCAAACCTTTCAAAACAGCAAATAAACACATCATATCATACATCAATGCACCAATGCAAGCCAACACTCCCAACAAGCCAACTACAAACATCAGAGCAACACACCAAATCATACATCAATGCAAGACATCAATCATAGCAAACCAGGACACCTAACACACCAAATCATACATCAATGCAAGATATCAATCCCTACATTCATAGCAAACCAGAACACCTAACACACCAAATCATACATCAATGTAAGACATCAATCCCAACAATCATAGCAAACCAGAACACCTAATACCCTACAGAATCACTCAATTGTATAAAATAAAGACCATAATCAGATATTCCATTACAACACTACACAAAACAAAGCAGCAAATTACCTTTTGCGTAGTTCTTGACTGTGTTTTTACCACAACCCCTCTAGCCCTCACCATATCACCCTTTGTCTTCTCAGCCTGGACAAAAAAATTTCAATTCAATTCATTACACATTCTTGTTCATTTGTTAACTAATTACAAATAAAATTCAGACAAGTTTAAAACCCATACCTTCACCTTTGCCTTTTTACCTTCCGGTTTCTCAGCAGGAGCTCCCTTCCACTTTCCATTTTTAAACCTCTCAGTCAACAACCTCACAAGAAGATTATCCAGATCACTCTTTTCCTCTTGTGGTTCTTCAGTCTAGTCTTCAGACTCTGCCTGTTCCTCTACATCCACATCGTCTTCATCCTTTTCATCATCGTCCGGATCAGATTTTCTAGTTGACTGAAAATCTGGATCTGAAACATCATCATCATCACCACTATGCTCACTGGTATCTTCCAATGTCTCTTCCTCAAAAACAGGAATAGCTTTCACTTTCTTCTTCTCCTTATTATCAGCTTTCTTTTTAGCCCCATTATTTGCAGCTTTCAAAGTCCTCTACAATAATGTACATATTATCTTAATATATTACATACACACACCACGCCAGGCAAAACAACCATTAGTCACCACAACCCTCCTAGGGGGCACCATTACAGAACCCTTCTTGTTAGTCTTCATTAATCTCCTGTAAATTTCACACACCCTCTTTTCTCAATTTGTAATAACTTTTTGACAAACAAAACACCACATTTGACAAACCATCCAACAACATCTCAAACTGAAATTAATTCAATACCAACGCATCCAATTACTCAACATATTCATTTCATAACATTTACATCTACCCAAATACCAGAAAATATTACAAACTCCCCTAATTCCAGACACCCTAATTATCTATCTTTTCCTACCACCAACACCAAAATGATTCGACCTATACAATTGCGTAGAGCTGAATTATAATTGAGCTTTAAAACCATTTCTTTGTTCAATTTATACCCAGATAATAGTCAAAACCCTACTCCGCAAATCAAAAGTCCGAAATTTAACACAACAACCACACTTATTTCAGCAATTCGTAATCATAAAAACAACAAGCGAACAATTAACATTAAAATTAGAGATTACACAGTCGACACCCAACCAAACAAAAAACTCTAAATTACAAAAATTTAAGAACAACTAACAACAACTCTTCACAATCAAATCACACATTATTATACAACCGTAAATTCACACCACAAAAAAAAAACAATTCGCACTATTTCTCTACATAATTTAAACCACGTATCTTCAAGAACACAAATTACTCAAATTCACAACTTGCAACTAACTACGAATGCTTTCCTTTCCCCGAACCACAGATGCTCACCACCACGCTTCAAGAGCAAACCACACAGGTAGAAGTTCGTAGAAGTTCGAAACAAGAGAAATTCGGGAAGAGAGAGAAGCGGAAGAGACAGAATATATATGACAAGGGAAATAAAATATTACAAAAGCCCCCAAAACTAGGGCCCGTTACAATTTAAAATATAACGGGGTAAACCAAAAGTCATTCCAACTAAGCTTTGCCAAAATTACCATTGCGCCCTCCTATTTGCTTCCAAAACAAATAGGCCCTATGCGCCCAGGGGATCTCCCCACTTTATACAGCAAACAACTATACCTATTCCATTGACATACTAAGGCCTTGTTTAGTTCACCTGATTTAAGCTGATCTGATCTGATATGAACTTATATTTTCTGATTTGAACTTATATTTTCTGATCTGATCTGATCTAAACTTATATTTTCTGATATAATCCGATCTGAACTTATTTTTTCTGATCTGACTTATATTTTCTGATCTGATCTGATTTGAACTTATATTTTCTGATCTGATTTGATCTGAACTTATTTTTTCTAATTTGATCTAATCTGAACTTATTTTTTCTGATTTGAACTTATTTTAATTATTTCAATATTCTACTTTTAATGTTAATCAATATTAATGTTTAATTATTACTGTTATGATTATTATTATTACTATTATTATTATTATTATTTATTATTATTATTATTATTACTATTATTATTATTATTATTATTTATAATTATTACTATTATTATTATTATTATTATTTATTATTACTACTACTACTACTACTACTACTACTACTACTACTACTACTACTACTACTATTATTATTATTATTACAGATATTTTAAAGAAACCTATAAGTATTAAAATTACTAGATAGTATAAGGTAATAGAATTGGAATATTTGATAATTTTATTATTTACAGTATCCCACTTCATAAATGAATTTTTTTTATAAGAAAGTATTAAAATGGGGATCCTAAAAAAACTAAATTACAGATTAAATTTATCATAGCTTTTTTTCTACATAGAAAAAAGGAGATTTGACTTGTTTTTAAATACCTTAATTCTTAAATAATAATATGGATTTATGATGTATCGGATTTGATTTTATCGTTTGTTTAAACTAGCAACATTTTCTATGTTACTTTGTACTAATTTTAATTGTAGTAATGCGTAGCTATTATTATTGAAAACCTTGTACGTATACTCCCTTCGATTTTAAATTCCTTCTCCATTTTTACATGTAGGGAGTTTTAGGAGAAATTGGTAAATGTAATAAACTAATAATATATGGATGGGGTAAGTGGAAGAATAAAAAATTGTATAAAGCAAAAGTATTTGACAGAATAGGAGGAAAGAAAATATGAAATTTAAAAAAAATTATTTATGGGAAACGTTAGGCTTGTTATCAAAAATATGAAATTAAAAAAAAAGAAAATATACATAATATGTTGTACGAAGATATTCATTTTTTTGTATAGGAAACGTTAGGCTCGTTTATTATTGCTTTTTTCTTTTTCTTTTTTTTGTAGGAAAAAAAGTAATATTTTGTAAGAAGATATTCAAATATTTTTGTTAAAACCACTTGATCAAGTATTATTGTTTTGATCTGAAGAGGGTGTTTCTAGAAAAAAGCAAAGTATTATGTTTTCCCTCCGTCCCTTATTGATAGTCCTTTTTGGCTAAATTTTAGTCCCAAAATGTTCATCCCATTTCTTATTTCTCTCCGTTTACTTTTTTTCATATCCAATGTAAATTTATCTTTCCAATATACTTTACTACTTATCTTTGCTTATTACTTCCCGTGAAAATTTGCATACTTGAACTTTTTAATTATCTTCACTCTTCACTTCGAACAACGATCGAGAGATGTTTTGGACAATTAAAATCTCGATGGAAAATATTGACAATGATGCCAAATATGGACACTAAACATCAATTGGCAATTATGGTTGCTACATTCACACTTCACAATTTTATTCGATTACATGAGTTGGATATACCCATTGATAGTGGTATAGAAATCAAACCAAGAGCATATTATGATTTGTTTAACCAGAATCGTAAAGCTGTAATGAACGAAGTACAACTTAATATAGCGAAGGAAATTTGGAACTTCTTGTAATGAAAATTATATTTGTAAACGTTTATGATTTGGAGCTTATAATGAAATTTTAATTATTATCGTTTATCGTTTGTGCTATTTGTTAATAATAATAATAATAATAATAATAATAATAATAATAATAATAATAATAATAATAATAATAATAATAATAATAATAATAATAATAATAATAACCATAATAATAATAATAATAATTTTTATAATAATAATAATAATAATAATAACAATAATAATTTTTATAATAATAATAATAATAATAATTTGTATTTGATCTGAACTTTTCTGATCTGATCTAAACTTATTTTTTCCGATCTGATCTGATCTGAACTTATTTTTTCCGATCTGATCTGATCTGAACTTATTTTTTCTTATCTGATCTGATCTGAACTTATTTTTTCTGAACTGATCTGATCTGAACTTATTTTTTTTGATCTGATCTGATCTGAACTTATTTTTTCGGATTTGATCTGATATGAACTTATTTTTTTCTGAAATAAGTAAAAATAAGGTGAACTAAACAAGGCCTAAATTGTAGATTTTGAATTAATTGTTTTCTAATGTAAATTTGTAAACAAATGCAACTTATGGAAAAAGAAACTTAGCCTGCATTATTTAAAGTTGGATAAAACTGAACTTGACAAAGATCATAAGCATACTGTCAACATTTTTTGTTTATAGTTAGCTTACCCATCCATGATACGACTTGAACTGACTATCACCATATACCACCATATATCTCCAAAACAAATGTTAGGAATGCAAATGTATGTTCGTTTGACAATAACTAAAGCACAACCACCAAAATGCAGAGATACTTACATATAGTACAAAACTAATCATAACATAAGACATATTTTCCATCTTTCAAAATAATTAAATCGGGTTTTAATAGAAATGCATTTGTTTTGTTTTATTTCGACATGTGTAGATTATGGTTAACATCTATTAGATATGCAAATGTTTTTTTCAAGGCTATTAGCTCAACAGGTAGAGCAATGTACATTAGTGTACATGGTGTGGATTCAAGTCCCACATAGCCTACATTACACTTGTTTATTGGTGTATGTCGTGTATCACCATTGTCGGTGTACTATTGGTCGTTGTTGTAACTTCTAATGGGCATAGCGCTATCATTTTAATTAGAGTCACTCTTGTACTTAGTTAGGGTCACTTTTGTTCTTCTTTAGGGTCAATTTTGCCTTTGATTAGGGTCACTTTTGTCCTTGAATAGGGTCACTTTATCCTTAATTAGGGTCACTTTTGCTCTTGATTAAAGTTACTTTTGTCCTTGAGTAGGTCACTCTATCCTTGAGTAGGGTTACTTTTGTCCTTGAATGGATCACTTTATCCTTAATTAAGGTCATTTTTGTCATTGATTAGGGTTACTTTGGTTCTTAAGTAGGGCCAATTTTTCCCTAATTAGGGTCACTTTTGCCCTTAATTAGAGCTACTTTTGTCATTAAGTAGGGTCACTTTAACCTTAATATAGTAGGGTCACTTTTTTTTTTTATTATTATTATTAATCAAGGTCACCTAGCTTTTATCCTTGTTATGAATTTATCCTTGATCAAGGTTACTTTAATCTTAGGTTAGGGTCACTTTTACTATAACACAAGATCACTTAGACATCTTACAAGCTACGACATTAACCAAAATACAACATTCTATGGCTATAAGCAAGCACTATCTACAATCTACATAGGCTATGCAGGATTAGAACCCACATCATGCACAACTATTGCACAATCCTCTACCATTTGAGCTAATAGCCTTGAAATCAAACGCTTGCACAAGCTTTCAAAGACCATGTACACCCAAACAACCACATCTAACCATTTTTATTTCATATTCATAGACCCCGAGATCAACACAAATTTATCACCACACGTTCAAATGAAAAGATAACAGGAAACATGTATTTCAATAAATTAAGCAAACTTTTAGTTAATTAAGGGTAAGTTTAACAAACACAAAGTAGTAACAGCTTTGCCATAGGAAGATTTTGCTGAAACTGCAACTTAATTGTGAGAAAATCAATCATAATCAAATCAACCAAACACATACAAATCAACAAAATTTTGCTCTTATAACACAGTTTATAAATTTGTTCAATGAGAGAAAAAACATGAGACGATTGACAAATAACTTCATATAAAATACCATTCGAAGGTCTAATAACAATCAAATCATATACAACGGTAAACAAATTCTGAAATTGAAATATCAATATAAAGATAGATTACTCAACTTTGATCAAAAGTTCGTTAGGTCATCAATTAGACAAAATTCTTCATAATTCCTGATTTGTTGTCATAGGAGATTGAATTTCTTCTTGCCTTTGAAGAATTGAAGTAGACCTTGAATTAGGGTACGACATTTAAAGAAATTGAATGCGATTATGCGATTATGAAGAATTCTCCAGATTTTCAATTAATGGCGCTAGTTTGAATTTGCCTTGGTGATTGCAGAAAAACTTGAATTAGGTTTTCGCAATTTGAGAAATTGAATGATTTCTCCATTGATGATCGAACATTGTAGGTAATAGGTTCCCCTATTTCTCTTTCTTCGTTCATGCTTGCACTTTCTCTCTCATCTTTCATGTTTTCATTTTCTCTCTCCGCCATTTTTGTTGCCTTCGAGAGCTTTAGCTTCTTCTGAAGTTCGTTATTTTGGAAAACCAAAAAAAAATTACTGTTCACACGTACGAAAAAGCGGATGTACAGAAAAATTACTGTAAATTGGGGGTATGCAAAATTTTTTGTCTAAAGACAGTGGCAGTATAAGATGTGCAGTATGAAAATTAACGTTGCAATTAATAAGAAAAGTGATATAAATTATAATTACATAACAGATAAGTTGTTGCTGTTATTTTTACAAAATACCTGGTACTAGGTACTTACTTTCATCGTCTTACTCACATACGGAGTAAAATCTGAATCTCAAACCAACTGACCAACTTACTATCATAATTAGATTTGAACATCAAATTAAGACTCATGGTATTTCTAGTAGCCTACCTAGTGTATTCGACAGCGAAAATATCCTTAATCAACGACCAACAGATCTAGATGGATGTGGTTTGCAAAGGAATAACAAATCAGAACTTTTAACCTTCTCCCAAAACTTAGGAATTCTCACACCTTTCTTATGTATGCTTCTTTCTTTATCCTCTTGAAAGCAAGCTTCTGTGCTGACAGCCTCTACATCTTTGGTTTTTAGCACCTCGCCCATACTCGTGTTACCAGTTTCTTTGCACGCCCAGCATTGTGTCTTCTCTTGCTTCACCAACTGCTGATAATACTCTCGGTTTCTCCTCTCTAAACCGTAAATCTTCCCTTGAAGCTCCTCAATTTTACGGCTAAGCATGCAGACTCGATGATCCTCCCTCATCTTTAAAACACACCTAGCTAATTCTCCTGCCTTCTTCTTCATGAACATGGACTCTGATGCTAGTCCTTTGTTCTCGTCGATTAGAGCACCCACTTTGTACCTCAGTCCTGCATTTTCATTTAGGAGAATTAGCCTCTCGGATTCTAGCACCTCTAGTAGACTCCTCTGTAGCTCTACCTTCCTCGATGAATCACTGGCTAGCCTTTCGGTTATCACAAGCTCATCAACCATAAAATCATATTCCACATTCTTGATGACCAACTCTGCTATGATTGCGTCACTAAGAATGTTGTACTGAGAACTCGCTGTAACTGAAGTTCCAGATGGTAATTGGTAGGAAAGTGAGCTTTCGGCATCTGATTGGCAGTCTTCTTCACTGTGGTTATCATGGAAAGATGAAACAACTGAGACATTCTCGGAGGTGGAAAACGCCCTGTGGTGGTAAATAGAGGGATGAGCTTGATTGTCATGCTTGTGTAGAGATTGACAGTAACGTTCAGCCAAGGAAAGGTAGGCATTGTAGAGGTCTAAGAGGAGAGATAATAATTGGGGACGTTGCTGGTAATAAGCCTCTGCTCTTTGCGCGAAGGTGTCTGCTTGGCCTTCATCATTGTCATTACCAGAGCTATGCACTAAAATGCTTATCTTCTGGTCTAAATCTGTAATATATGTAACGACATAATTACAAAATGCATTCACTTCCATAACACGTTACTTTGTAGAACTGAAGTCTGCATCTGCAGACTGCAGTATATGTAACATTCAAATTTCAACAGGTACAAATTATTTTTAAGAACATGCTAAGTATTCTGTATATAATTTAGAACTTTAGCATTTCAGTAATACTCGTTTATATGCTAACTTGGGAAATCTAATCATAAACCAACACATTATTAAAATGAGTTCCAGAACTTATCTATTCTATCTTAGAATTTTACCCCGTACATGACTATTAATTCAGATCAAGGGGGCTGAAATAGTTTACGTTAGTCGGTAAGCTAAGACACATTAGTAGAGCTATAGATGCATAGCGCCCACGGCCTATCCAAGGTTGATTAGAACTCTTTTCATTTTTGAACTAAAGGTTGATTAGAACTTGGGAAAGAGTAGATCTCTAATTTAAGGAGCACGAAGTTAGTTAAGGATTTCTGGTCTGAAATTTTTACAGGTTTGATTTAGGTTGACCTAAATATATCTAAACGAGTCAAATCTTTTTGAACTCCTGATTTAACTGGACTTTGACCATACTTGCACATCAATCACAAAAATAAATGAATAAAACACTATCAATTGAAGCTGTGAAGGTCTTGTTACATTCATCTTGATGTTTTTTTCTTAATATGTTTACTTTTCCTGATAACTATTTTCATAATATGTTTAATAATTCTAACAAGTAAATTTTAAAAAACTAAAGGAAGAAACAAAGCAAAACAAAACACAACAAAATTACTTTTTATGAAAGCAATAAAAGAAGAAAAAAAAAACTTCTGAGAAATGTAGAAAGTATACCCAAAACATTAATCTTAAATAAATAAAAGGTTGAAAATGATGTTTTCTGTTTGAAACTCTTTGAACACGCCCAAAAAAAAAAAGAAAAAAAAAAAGAAAAAGAAAAGAAAGGATCTTGCAGGTTACTTTTCCCGCCGTTGGAAGTCACACTGCAAGAAAAACAGGTTTAAAAATTAAAATTGAAAATAGGCAAGTAAAATCCAGAAAGCGTGTCTGACAAAGGATTCCTACAAAAATACAAGAAGCAAAAAGAATAGAGAGCTCTTATTCCATACACAATTTGCTGACTGCCTTAATATAATGACAACAAAACTTGGGTTATAATCATAGCTCTGAATCAAGTGGGATTACTATGATACAATAAACTCATTCCGTCCCACTAAAATGACGTAAAATTCTACAGTAGTAAGCAATATACTCGTATGCATTTTTACTCTCGCATACACTACTATAGTTCATTAATTTTTTTTCTAATCAAATTTACCCAAACAAAACTCTAATAAGCGAGTAAAGAGTAAAAAAATTATGAGGCAATTTTAATGGTACAAAGAGAGTACGAAGTAGTAGATAACTTTATACTATTAAAGTTCTACTACTTTGTATACAAGAATACTTTCTCTGTATTTAAATTGAAATTTAAAAAAAAAAATGACAAGTCAAAACCAAAATTTAAATTTGAAAGGAAAGGCAATAGGAGGACTAAATAAGGTAGTAACTTTTATTTGATACAATTTGAAACTTTACCTACTCTCACTACAGTCAAAACACTAAACTGAATTATAACACAATGCAAGTACATCCACAAAATTGGTAACAGTTAGATGAGCAATTACAGAGTAATAGTAATTCATTGGAAATTAAAAAAAAAATATCAATATGGGCCATATGATACTGCCTTAACCCACTGACCATAGTCTAATTTAAGAACCTTCCAACTACACTAACGAATATAGTAACAAATACTAACACATGTAAAACCCAATAATTTAAGAGTATGCCATGCCTATGCCTTACCAGCAAGGGTGGTCAGTAGCCACGCCGGCCTTGTACAACACGGTGGCCGTCGTAACTCCATCTGAATTGTTGAACCTCCACTTCCATCGACCGTTTTCCACCGCTTCATCATTGTCTTCTTCGTAACTCCGACTTCCATCACTAGCAAAATTGCTAATTTAAAAGATAAATTGGTCAATATACTATTACTTAGATAAACAATTAAGCATTATATGTTCAAAATACGAGTAATTAGATTAGCATTTAAATAAAAATGATGTGGAGTACTTGGAAGAGTAGGAACCAACCACATATTTCATATTTTGAGATTTTTTACCTCTAGCATAACAACTTTTTTCAATTCCTACTCAGTAAATTAAACTACATCATGTCACATAAACATAATACCGTACGATAAGAGTAAGAACCAACCAGACGACCACAAAATCTTTCGTTGAAAAATCAAAGCAAACATAAAAAAATTAAAAAAAATAATATAAACATTTAAAAATAAAACATTAAATATACTGACAGTAGTAAGGGATAAATTAATGACGTGTAGGTAAGAGAAAGAACATGAAATTAAACAACAGATCTCGAGGAAACATATACCAAAGTACATTTTACTTTTCTCATGAACTCAATACTACTACTATTCCTGCTCAAATCCCCAATTTTCTCCCAAAACACAATTATAGGGTGATTTGTAGCACTAATCTTCTTATAATTTTGTCATGTTCTTAATCAAATGAATAATAAAGAGAAAGTCATAGTTGTAGTTGTCGATTACAAGCAAATTACACTATTAACGTGACAATTAGATATTATAAAGGTAACAGCATCTCAGGCAATATGATACGAGTATGAAGTTTCCAGTTAAATGAAACTAATAAACTCAAGTTTATACTTGAACTACTAGTCTACTTCAATCAGAATAGCAAAAGAAATTAAGTAAATTACTCCGTAGTCCTTTTGCCTGGTTTTAATAGTCAGGTTTGTAGTTTGTATTGCCGAAATATCAACGTGACAATTAAATCCGAATGGAGTCACAAATGGAGTATTTTAATTAAAACAATAGCAGTGAAGTTATGCTTAATCCGGTAAAAAAAAATTATAAAAAAAAGTAGAATTCAGATATGTGCATAATATTAAAAAGAGAAAAGAAAGAATACTTACAAGAGGTCCTCCTCTTAATTAGCTCAGCTTGTTAGTAGAATAGCAAACGAAAGTTAGAGTGGAAGAGAAAAGGGGAGAGAGAAAATCTGGAAAATTGAAATTAAGAAAATGGAGCTATTGAGTTATTGTAATTTTGAGTTTAAAAAAAAAAAAAAAAAGGGGGGAAAAACAGTGTAGTCGAAATCAAAAAGATGGTAGTTGAGTTCTGAAAAAAAAAACAACGTACAGTAATAGAAAGAACTCCGTAGTGAGTGATTGGGATTGAGAGTGATAGGATTAGGAGGGAACACTAATGTAAGATTTATACTTGGACAACACGCCATTTTTAGCCTTATACCATATCGTACTACCAACACAAATGACCAAAATCGAACTCAAAATTAAGGCTCTGTTTGGTTCATTTGATTTTTATAACAAAAATTTTACAGATTAATTATATCTTTATTTACACTTTTACTTTTTTTACTACTTACATAATGGTTTGATTTAACTCTTTAATTAAGTATATATTTTTTCTGATTATTTTTAAAGCATCATTTGCAAAAACATGGATTCTTAAACATTTTTTAGAGATATGAGAGAGAGAAAGTAAAAAAGGGGACTCATGTGATATGAGAGGAATAAAAAAAATCTATTACGGAGTAATTAAAAAGGAAAATGATGCATCTAATTTGAGACTTTCTTATTTAGAAAGTGTTGCATCTTAAAAAAAACAAAAGAATTATTAATAAATAACAATGATTATTGTACATAACCCTTAATTTCATAATAATTAATACAATCAAATTTAGTATATTTTTCAATGTACAATCTTGACCCTATAATATAATCCCTCTATTTCGTAATATAGGGTAGAGACATTCACTGTTCTCTCTCCTCATCCCCAAACTCTCTATTCTCTCTCCTCATCTAAAGGGAATTTCTACCGGAAACCTAAGGCACGCCGGAGATCCGACGCCGCAACCGTTTCTCCGGCGAGGTTCCCCCCTTCTTTCTTCTTGTAATTTGCGTGTGAGTCACGGGTGAGTAGGCCGTGTCTTGAGTTTTTCGCGTCGCCTCCTCTCTTCGCCATGCTCTGAGGTGGCCTCCAACTTTGACGGCCGCCGGAGCTCCGCCGCCGCGTCCTCTTTCTCCCCCTCTGGTTTTTTTTTTCTTCTCTTGGTTCTTGTTTCTCTTCCCCTTTATTTTCTTTTCCCCTTGTTGGAATTGGAGGCTCCTTCACTCCTTTATCCTCTTTCCTCTTGAGGATTTTAATCCTTTGGAGGTGTGTGTGAGAGCCTTGTCTAAGTTTCGAAGGTTATGAGGGGAGTGTGTAGATCGTCCACCTCCGTCGCCGTTGCCCACCTTTGTGTGGAAGGTTTGTGTTCGTTCAAAGGGTCTCCCCGCCGGTGAAACAAGGCCTAAGGACTGGGCCTAACGCCGCCGTCATAAAGGTCATCGGTAATTTTGACCGTGACGAAAACGGTAAAGTTAGGGTTAGGGTTTCGTGTGTTCTTGCACCGGAGGGCTAGGTCTAACGCCGCCGTCAAGAGTAGTTAGTGACGGAAACGGTGAAGTTAGGACTAGGGTTTCGAGGTTCCTAGTGTAAGTGGTTTCGGGTTGTTGGGTTGGACGGTGCTCCCCTCTTGTTTTTGTTCCCTTTCTTAAGAATGTTTGTTCTTAGTATTTATCAGAGTTTACTTGCCTAAGTTTTTGTTATGGTATGTCTTAGCCCCTTTTGGTTGTTTTTCGGGCTATTTAGTTGTTTTGGCTATAGTATTTTGGATGGTTGTGTGCAGTGGGAGTTAAGCCCCTTTGTTAAGGACAGTGGGATCGTGTTTACTGTGGTAAGAGAGGTTACAGGTGCGGTTGTTGGGGGTTTGAACAAGAAGTTGGCCTTGGCTAAGGTGAAGTGTGTACATTGTTGGAGTGGTATGGGTTTGGTTTATCTTCCCTCGGATGTAATGAATTTTTTGGTCATTATTCCTAATCTTTTTTATCTGAAGCAGGCGCCCAAACTTTGTTTTGGGATTTCTCGAGCCTCGACGTTGTCAATGCTTTCTTGCCAACAAGGAAAGCTATTGATTGGAAGGTCACTAGTTCAAGTGACCCGTTTGATGACCTTACTTGGTGAAGAGTTGATCCCGCCAAGTAAGGATGTGCTAGCCATGGTCAAACAGTTTCGATTCCCTCCGTTGCTCTCTTCTTGGAGTGTAGTAGGTCTTTGCTCCTTGGTTTGTAAGAAATCCCTAATCTGCGACTTATCCGGCCAATTCAAGTTTAGTTTCGTCTTTAATCTAAAAAGTTGTGTAACGACTTTAGCATTAAAAGCCATATTTTAAGTTTTAGTTCTTGTTTTGTAGGTTGTAAACTCTAATTTTATGAATATATTTGCTCTTGTCAAAAAAAAAAAAATTATGAATATATTTGCTCTTGTCAAAATATATATATATATATATATATATATATATATATATATATATATATATATATGTGTGTGTGTGTGTTTTGACAAGAGCAAATATATTCATAATTTTTTTTTTTTTTTGACAAGAGCAAATATATTCATAAAATCAGAGTTTACAACCTACAAAAGAAGAACTAAAACTTAAAATATGGCTTTTAATGCTAAAGCCGTTACAACAACTTTTTAAAACCACATTTAAAGATATAATCAGTCAAACATGATTTTAGAAGACCGTGCTCAAAAAGTTTGTTTTAGATTTAGTGGGACGAAGGGAGTACCATTTTTAGAGGATAATACAAACTCGCTACATGTGTTACCCTTGTCATACTTAATGGAAACAAATCACATTTTATTCCTCAATCTCAAATTTGTAAATTATTTATATCCTATTAGGATATTAGAAAACTATGAAAAGTAATAGTTATTATTATTATTATTATTATTATTATTATTATTATTATTATTATTATTTCCTTTTCTTGGCCAAAACTTTTCCATATAAGCAATAGAATAAGGGGTCATTTGGTATATCATCATCATAAATATTACGGAGTATGACATTGAAACTTATTATATTGCCTGTAGGATATTTATGCGTTGGAAGGTCATCTTAACGTTCTACTCCGCAAATAATGGAATATTTGCAAAATCAAATACAGGTAACAACCTAATTAAGCTTTCAAGTTCCAATAGAAAGATCATAACATATCTTTAAGTGAGCTCAATCTTGACAAAATTACACCCAAAGAAGCCCATTTTGAAGATCACAAATTTTTTTAAAAAAACCGGTGTTCATTAATTTAATGAATGGCGGAATTTTTGGACAAGCATCAACTGCCAATTTAGTGGGTTTGGCACGTGCTTCCTAATGATTGCCAAAATAAAGAAAGAAATAGAACTTTTCTCTCTTCATTCATTCACTATAGCTTTCTCTCTCTTCGTTTTTCTCTCTCTAAAAAGCAAGTAACTGGCGATTTCGAGCGTTTTCTCTGTCCTCCATTGTTGATTTTCGAGCTTTTTCTTTCTTCTTTTTCACTGGTGAAGTTGTTATTTGCTTAATTCAGGTTCGTTTACTTATTTTTTTTGAGATTTTTGTTAGTTTAAATTGTTTTGATTCTTCGATTTTTAGGTTTTTTTATTTTGATTTTGTTTTCGATTTTCGTAGTGTTGATTCCGCAATGGTGAAGAAGAAGATTACAAAGAAGGCTGTAGATGCTGAAGAAGGTGTGTTTACTTAAAGTTTTCATCATTTTTTCAAATTTTTCAATTGAAATTTCGCTTATATATGTCGAATTAGTAGTGCATGTTATTTTTTATAGTTTTCAGTTGATTTTTTATGCATATTATGATAATTGAATTTGAATTATGAAGTTATTATGTTTAATTTTGCTTTATTTTATTGTTCATTGTATATAATTGATTCAAAATTTTGCTTATTATTCTTCAAATTTTGTATGTTAGGTTTTAGTCAGAGAATGCTAATTAAACTGATTATTTATTTAGGTTTTATGTTTTAGTTAGATTATGTGTATAATAGGCATATTCGCATTGTGTTTGTGCATCTGTGTTTGATTAACATGCATATATGCATTGCTCATTGTGTTTGAGTAATAGACATGTGTGTCATTTATATGTTTTGACAATGTTCACTTTATGATGTTAAAAGGGTGACTTTATGCTGTTAAAAGAGTCACTATATGTTGTTAAATGATTAACTTTTTCAGTTAAAAGGGTCACTTTTTGCAAAAAAAGGGTCACTTTATGCATACAAAAGGGTCACTTTATGCTGTTAAAAAGGTCACTTTATGCTGTTAAAAGGGTCACTTTGTGATGTTAAAAGGGTCACTTTGTGATGTTAAAAGGGTCACTTTATGCTGTGAAAAGAATCAGTGTATGTTGTTAAATGAATAACTTTTTCAGTTAAAAGGGTCACTTTTTGCATATAAAAGGGTCACTTTATGCTGTTAAAAGGGTCACTTTATGCTGTTAAAAGGGTCACTTTATACTGTTAAAAAGGTCACTTTGTGATGTTAAAAGGGTCACTTTGTGCTGTTAAAAGGGTTACTTTGTGCTGTTAAAAGGGTCACTTTATGCATTTAAAAGTGTCATTTGTGCACATTATTCTATATTTTTTCATGAGTAATTTCTGAATTTGTATTTATATTACTTTAATAATTAAATACAGGTGGTTCAATAGGTGGTTATCGTTATAAAAAGCCTACAAAAGGAAAAGGAAAGCCTAAAGAGCCTGCTAAGCCTAAACCAGTACCAAAAAAGGCTCAGATAGCTCCTGAGAAGAGCAAAGCGGTATCTAAAAAGGCTGGGAAAATTCCTGAGAGTGACAAACCAGAGTCTGAGAAGGCTAAAATAGTTCCTAAGAAGACCAAAATTGTACCTAAGAAAGCTAATACAGTGGAAGATTCTGATTATGAAATGCTTTCTGAATCTGATTCTGAATCTTTTATGTAAGTATACATATTTTTTTATTACATTTTTAATTATATTTTGTTTTTATTTTATATTATTTTAGTTACATTTTCTTTCTTTTTTTTTTCTATTTAGGGAGCAAAGAAGAATCATTGCAAGATGTAGACCCTATTCATTGGAAATATTGCTGCAGAACTTTAGTCCTGAGCAAAAACAGGTTGTTGAAGAAATTGGTTTTGGAGGTTTATTACATCTTAAATTGAAAACTCTTAATCGTCAAATGCTACCTTGGCTTGTTGAAAACTTCAATGCTGGTAGCTGCATGTTTACCATCGCTACTGGTAAAGAATTTGTTGTTACTAGAAATGATATATGCGATGTGTTTTGCTTGCCTTTGAGTGATATTTGTGTTCCTGAACTTAATAAAAATTCTGAAGATGAAAGTGTAGATAAACGTATCATTCAGGCATGGAGATCTGTTTATGGTCTTTCTGGTAAGCAACCTCTTCATTTGTCAAAATTGGAGTCTAGGATGGTTGATTTGGTTGATGGAGGGGAAGAATTTAAGAGGTGTTTTGTTCTTCAAGCTATGTCTAGCTTTTTAGCTCCTACTACTAATAGGACTGTTTCATTGAAGTTGCTGAAAGCTGTTGAAAAAGTTGATGAAATTAAAACTTTTGATTGGTGTTCATATGTTTTAAAAAAGTTAAAGAAGGTTGTTCAGAAGTATAAGGATGATGAAAATGCTCAAAATGTTAGTGGTTGTTTGCTGGCTTTGCAAATTATGTATTTTCATCGTCTAAATTTTCAAGGTGAAAAGGAAAGTAGTACTCTTCCTTTAATTCAACATTGGACGGATGTAAAGATTAAGAAGCGAATTAAGTTAGAGATCAAAGCTGGTGGTTATGGGCAGGGACCATTGGATACTATTACATATCCTGTGTCACAGCTTAATTTTAGGGGAACTGTTTTTATGCCAGCTCCTACTTTGGGTTATGATAAGGGTCCTTCTACAAGTGGTACGACTGGTCGCATTATTGCATTTGAGCTTCCAGAAGGTATTATGACCGATGAAGAAATTAAAAAAATTTCAACTGATGTAAGTGTTCTGTTTTCTTATATGTTTAGTTATTATTGCTTTTTGTTTACAAAAGTTATCCTTTTTGTGTACAAAAGTTACCCTTTTTGTGTACAAAAGTTACCCTTTTTTGTGTACAAAAGTTACCGTTTTGTGTACAATAATTACCCTTTTGTGTACAAAAGTTACCCTTTTTGTGTACCAAAGTTACCCTTTATTTGCACCGAAGTTACCCTTTAGTTGCATTAAAGTTATCTTCAATATTAAGTTAAAAGGGTTACTTTATTCATACAAAAGGGTAACTTTTTTCATTTAAAAGGGTCAGTTTATGCATTTAAAAGGGTCACTTTTAGCGTATATTTAGATTTCCTACTTATTTTATCATTTTTATTTGTAACATTTTTTTTTCATTGTTCATATGTTTGTAGGTTGTTCATGAAACGTTTCTTTTGTTTAAAAGAAATATGGATGTTTTATTATTTGTTCAGTCAACTGGTTTTCAAACCTTGAATGATCTGATTACTTCTCGCAGAAGTTTTTCATTATCTTCTGATGATTTTGTTTCAGTTTCTCAAACTGAACTGCTACTCTCTGATCCTCATTATTTGAAGATTTTAGATGGTTTAATTGATGAGTGTAATAAAATGAAGTCTGTACATGATATGTTTCGCGGTTTTTATGAACCTACAGAAGGTAACAAAGATTTTGTTCCTGAAAAAGAACCTGCACAAGGTTTCAATGAAAATATTCCTAAGGATGATGACAATGGTCATGGAAAAATAGTTAATGAAGGCCTTAATGGTTCTGGACCTTCTGCTATCATTCCTGGTCCTACTCAAAATATTCCTGTCGGGCATATTGATCAAAATGAACCTCCACGACTCAGAGCAAATAAATCTCTATGCTCTCTGGACTGTGGACATGTAGGTGTGCAGGTGCCTTTTGTAACTCTTTTTGTAAAGAGCAATGCTCAGATTTTCAAGAATTTGCCTCAGTTACATTTGGAAATTCTCGATTATTGTTTGCTGAAGGATGTTTCAATGGATAAGAAGTTAAGTGTCCTTTTTTATTATAATTATTTTTTTATCTGTTTTTTTTCTTATAATTTTTTTTTAATGTTGATCTTATTTTTTATTGTTTCAGTGAGAGCCTTGTTACTTTTGGAATGAACTTTTAATTCCAAGAGAAGACATGGTGTCCCTTGTTGCTCCACTCAGGATTCGATGGTGCGTTATTGATTGCTTCTGTCTGTATTTGAATGAGAAAGCATGTTTTCAGGCTACTGGTCCTCGGAAATTCTTCTTCAGTGTTAGGCAGAGTGTAAGTTATTTCATTCCTTTTTTTATATCTTAACACATTTACTTTATATATATATTATTGAGATCTTATACTTTAATAGTTTTCATTCTTGCATGTTTGTGACAATATTGGCAAAGGTAACATATCTAGTGCTGTTAAGGATTTGCACGACATATGGGAAGGTTGGGTTAGCTATGAGAATCCAGAATGTAATATAATGGATGCTGATCTGGTATTTTTATTCTAAACTCAATGTAATAAATTTAAAAGAGTTCTCTTTATGATATGCTCTGTTTAAATCTCTTTAATTTTGCTGTTTCAGATCTATTTTCCTGTTCTTATTGAGAATCACTACATTTTGTATGTTATTGATCATACAAAAGAGTTGGTATATTATCTTGACAACATTATCTGGACTGATTCTGCTCTTGTTTATACAAAAGAATTGTGTTCAAAGATGGTATGTTTATGTTTGTTTTTTTTGTTATGTTACTGTTGATTCATTGTTTCCATTTTAACTTTTTTGATTTTAATGTATTCTAAACTTTTATATTTTATGTCAGTGTGTTCAAATGGGTGCTTTTCTTGGCAAAAGAAATCATCCAAAGAGTTCTCAGCTACCTTCTTATGGTTTTGAAGTTGTTGAGTTGGAATGGAGAAAAGAAAAAGTTGACAATTTGGACTGTGGGGTCTTTGTCATGTATCACATGCTCCATTTTGTTGGTGAATCGTTCAAATTCAATGATCTCAAAACAGTAATTATCTATATAGTTTCTGTAGTTTTTTCCTTTCTATTGCTTTTATTAATTACATATTGATAATTTTTATTTTTTTTGCTGTTTTGAGATTAATGGAAGGAAATTTTTACGAGGAGAGATCTGTACCACACTGGTACTGTGTGATTTGAATGAATCTAGGAACGATGTGTTGTTAGAATTACACAAGTTCAATGAGAAGAAGAAAGATCCTGCTTATGTCAATGGAATTGAAGAAAGATTAAAGGCTGCAATTGCTGCAAAGAAGAAGAGAGAAACAGAAGAAAGAAAAATGGCAGCAGAAGCAGAAGCAAAGGCAGAGGGAGAAGAGGAAAAGAACAAAGGAAAAAGGGAAAAAAAGCAGGCAAAAAAGTTTACTCCTTCTAAATAGTGAAATAATTGATAGTTGTTAGCTGATTAGTTCAGGGGGTTTTTTTTAACAATGAAAAAACTTAATGTATGTGCATACATTAAGTTTAATGATGTAATTAAACTTAATTTAAAGTCTTTAGTTGTTTTTGGAATACTGATGTATGTGAATACATAAAGTAATTAAAAGGTTTATTTTTATGTTTTTTATGGGGTAACTTTTATGCAGAAAAGGGTAACTTTTATGTATAGAAAGGGTAACTTTTATTGTTAGAAATGGTAATTTTAGCAATGAAAAAGGTGACTTTTATGTAGAAATAGGGTCACTTCTATTCATGAAAAGGGACACTTTTTTCTGTAAAATAAAAGGGTCAGGGGTTTTATGCATGAAAAGGATAACTTTTAGTGATAAAAGGGTAACTTTTATTAACAGAAAGGGTAACTATTAGAAAAGAAAAGGTTGATTTAGTGGATAGAAAGGATAACTTTTATGCATGAAAAGGGTCACTTTCATGCATAAAAAGGTTTACTTTGTAGCATAAAAAGGGTTACTTTTGTGGGTAGAAATAATAAGTTTATACATGATAAGGTATACTTTTGTGGGTAGATAGTGTAACTTTTATGCATGGAAAGGGTAACTTTTATTGATAAAAGGGTTAACTTTTATTAACAGAAAGGCTAACTATTGCCAAAGAAAAGGTTGATTTAGTGGATAGAAAGGATAACTTTTATGCATGAAAAGGGTCACTTTTATGCATGAAAAGGGTCACTTTTATGCATGAAAAGGGTCACTTTTATGCATGAAAAGGGTCACTTTTATGCATGAAAAGGGTTACTTTTATGCATGAAAAGGGTTACTTTTATACGTTAAAAGGGTAACATAAGTTGATGTGTTCCAATAATTAAACATGTGCTAATAAAAGTGTCAATCACATTTTCATTAAACTAGTCATAGAGTAAAAAAACAAAAGAAAAATAGTTTAACAATACAAGGTATATTAATTTCGAAAAAAAAAATGTTCTAAAAAAGATCTTAAAAGAGTCGTAAGTTAGGTGTCTTTGATCCAAATTCTGAATTTGGAGGTGGCAGTGCTGGTTTTCTTTTTCTCTTGCTTTTTTCAAGTCCTCCTTTTGCTCTCTTGCTTCTTCCTTTTGTTACAACCCTTTTAGGATCAAGAATTGTTGGTACACATGTGCTTGTACTCGATGCTGAAGAAGCGTCAGTATTGCTTTGAGTGTTGTCTGCCACATCAGGAATGTTAGAAGCAGCTTATGCACTTTCTTTCTGAGCAGCACTAGCAAGTAAGTCTTCCACCATTTTAAGACTGTTTCTGAAGCTTTCTTCCATAAATGCTCTTGTCTCTTCATTTTCTTGACTTTTTAAGATTAGATTGTAGTATTTCCTCATCATTGTTTGCCTCCATGGAATATATTGCTGTTTAGGATCCTGATTCTTCAACCTATCCCATGCCTCTGTTTTTGCAAACTTAGTCCATCCTTTTGAAACATACTTGTCTGGTATTCTTGTTACTGAATGCAAATGTAGAATTCTGATGCAATGATAACATAACCATCCAGATGCTTCAAAGTTTTTGCAAGTACACCATACAGTTTGGCTCTCTTGTATATAGTTTACTTGATGTGCAGACCATGGCTTGTCTTCTAGTGTTACTTGATAAAGTAGGCATTCTTCATTACTGCCTAACATCTGAACAGTTGTTGCCATAGAGTATCCAAACTCCTCTTCAAAATTTCTAAAGAGTGATAAAGTGAAAACCTGTACATCAAAATCATGTAGCTTCATTTAAATTGCCATATATTAGGTGTAATTTATGTACTTGTCAGTTAACTTTTTACCTGTGCGACATGCTTTAGCATTCCAGATAGAGGCAATGAAGTGAATGCTATTGACTTGCTACAGGTAAACTCATCATATTTCTCTGTGCTTCTCCAACGATTAGTTGTCTTCTTAAATATGGTATAAAATTCTGTCAAAGTAGATGCTTTACTTGCTCTGAATCCTATGGCATGATTAGTGCTTTCACTCCTTTGTGACGATAAGATCCCCGCTGAAAAGAAATCTCTACAAAGGGCAGGACACCATTTGTCTTTCAACTCATACACTCTTTTGTACCAAGAGTGTTATGTCAACTCATATTTTTGCAACATTGCTTGCCACTTTGCTTCGAATTCTTGTTCTGTCACACACATCTTTAAGCACTGGTTGAATGCAAATTTGAATTCTTTGTCTTTTTTAAGAGCTCCAAATCTGGTTATGGCATTTTGCTCCAAATGCCATATACAAAGTCTATGTCTTGTATTAGGAATCACCTGCATTGAAAATAAAGGGGTCACTTTATGCTGTTAAAAGGGTTACTTTATGCACTAAAAAGGGTAACTTTATGCAGCTAAAAGGGTAACTTTATGTGAAAAAGGAAAACTTTATTGTCATAGCTCAAATCTGTAAGATGTCAATATAAATCTTTTACCTCTAGTATAGCATTTGCCATTTCTTGGTCCTGGTCAGTGAATATTGAAGTTGGTTTTCTATCCTCCATAGCTTTGAAGAAGGTTTGTAGTAACCACACAAATGAATCTGTCGTTTCATCCCCAATAAAAGCACAAGCAAACATACAATTATGCCAGTGGTTATTTATGCCAACAAATGGAGCACATATAAGATTATATCTGTTGGTTCTGTATGTTGTATCAAAGACAAGAACATCTCCATATATCCTATAGTCTTCTAGCATCATTGAATCTCTCCAAAAGATATTGCAAATTCTTCCTTCTTTGTCAAACTTCACTCTAAAAAAGAAGTTTGGATCCTTTGATTGTTTCTGACTTAAAATGTTCACTAAAGTTTGAGCATCTCCAGCCTCAATTTGTTCCATTCTTAACCTTGAGCAGAAATTCAGGTGATCTACAACACTATGGCCTATATTTTGTTCTCCTCCAGCCTCTGTAGCCATGTAATTGTAAGTGTCCATTGTAGTTAGACCTGAAGATTTCATTGTTTTGATTGTTACAACTTTTTCCTCTGTCATTTTTCTTTCAGAACGATGCAAATAATGCCACTGTGGCTTTGTTAGCTCGTGGTTATGCTGAATAACATGAGCCACCACCTCAAACTGTCCTTCTTTATTCACTTTTGCTCTTATGCATGCCTTGCAATTTGATCTTGTAATGGATACTTGTCTTGGCTTTCTTGTTTTTACATTTACATCCTCTTCATCAACCATTTCAACTAACTTTGTTTTCTTCTGACCTGAATGTCTCTTTCCCTCAGCAAAACACACATAGTTTTTCTCAGTTACTATTTTTGTGTGTTGTTTGAATCTAGTTGTATGTTTTCTTATTGAAAACCCCAGTATAGCAGCATGTTTTTCATACAATTCCAAAATTTCTTCAAAAGTTTCTCTTACCACACCAACAAATGATCCTCTAAGATCTAAACCATAAGCATCAATTGGATTTGTATCCGTTATTTAATACAAACAAATCAGATAATAACCACAGACAGCATAAAAAAAGGGTAACATTCGTTTGAAAATAGGGTAACTTTTATGCATGAAAAAGGTAACATTTAGGCATTGAAAGGGTTACTTTTTGCATACAATCTGAATTTTCAGCATACAATCTGAGTGTAACATTTGAGCATAAATAGGGTAACTGTTATGCATGAAAAAGGTAACATTTAGGCATTCAAAGGGTTACTTTTTGCATACAATCTGAATTTTAGGCATACAATCTGAGTGTAACATTTGAGCATAAATAGGGTCACTTTTAAGCATGAAAAGTGTAACATTTAGGCATTCAAAGGGTTACTTTTTGCATGCAATCTAAAAAGATCTGCATTCAATCTGAGGGTAACATTTAGGCATAAGTATGGTCACGTTTATGCATGAAAAGGGTAACAATTATGTATTCAAAGGGTTACTTTTTGCATACAATCTCAAAAATTCATAGAAATTACCTTCAGTTGCATCTGATTTGGTTGTTTGTTCTTAATTTGAATCAATTGATTTATCAGGAACCACTTGATTTTCTGCATTGTGAATTGCGTCTTCTGCATTCTCAATTGCTTCATCTGCATTATCGATTGCTTCATCTGCATTGTCTGGATTGTTGAATATTGGTACGAATTCATCTCCAAAACAATTAGTTTCTTCTTCTTCTATAATCGATCGATTTAAATCGATTTCAAATTCAGTCTCAATTTGCCTCTGTTTTTGTAGCAATTCGTGAATGAGATTGCTGCAATTTGTTGTATCGAAAGTCGAATTCTCCATTGATGATCGAATTCTGCAATTTGTAAGTTTTCTCACTTTCTTTGTCCTTAATTGATGATCGAATTCTTCTATTTGTGCGTTTTCTCACCTTTTTTCTCCTCGATTGATGATCGATTTCTGCAATTTTTGCGTTTTCTAACCTTTTTTCTCCTCGATTGATGATCGTTTTCTGCAATTTTTGCGATTTCTCACTTTCTCTCTCCTCAATGGATGATTGATAGCTGCGTTTTCTCACTTTCTCTCTCCTCCATTGTTGTTCTGCGTTTTTTTTATTTTTAGGTATTTGAAATTCTGCGATTTTTTTTTAAAAAAAGCACGTGCGAAAACCCGATGTACAGTAAAAATACTGTACACCGGGTACATGCAAATGGGATTGTTTGAAGATAATGTATAATACTAGTAAAAGCTGTCCTTATAAGCTGGAAAAACTGAATTGAACTGAACACTATCGGGAAAAAAAAAAACTAAACTGAATTGAGATGATCTGAATGAAAAATTAACTTAAAAGAACATGGCTTACATAAAAGTTAATATTGTAAAAAAAAAAAAAATCTATAAATTAAAATCGTAAAAGAGTCGAGTAAAAAAAGATGGAGATCAACAATTAATTCCGAGAACTAATCTAAATTAAAACTTATGGTTTATATGTGGCTTTCAAGTGTTGAGTTATTGTGTTTGTGCAAGCCAAATATATGTGGCTTTCAACTCTAGACCCCAAAACAACAAGTCCAGCGCGCAGGTTTGGGCCCGAATGAAACGGGCATTGCGGGCTTATTAAATATTTCCTCTATTTTTTTTATACCTGTAACACTTCTCTTTTCACACTTACCGACACATTATTTCAATTATTAATATTTTTAAGTACCAATATGTAAAAATTATACACATGTAATATTAAAATAGTACAAATCAAGACGAATCTAACAAGATCCCACATGTTTATATTTTTTCAAATAAATAGAGTAAAAGTCAAATTGTTGCAAGTATAAAACAACGAAGGAAGTAGATTTTATAAACCTAAGTTTCATTGCCCAATAACGAATTCAACGAACATTTTCAAAGCTACAATGGATGAAAATGCTTGACAAAATTAATCAAGGGATCGACAAAATAAATCAATTTGTCGTAATTCATTTACTACAACCTTAGAAAATCTAGAATTAGTGTTATATACTTGGCTGTACGGTATACCTAGGGTTATAACTGTCGTTTTACTCGTTTTTTCTTGCATGCGAGTTACACGTAATACCTGGGTTTCATACTTTAAACGTTTTTCTATTCTTCTTCTTTAATTTCTCTCTCTTCCTTCTCTCTCTTCTGGTCTTCAATTCCAGGATTTTTTTTATTTACATTTTTGATTTTTTCAGTCAAATTTCGTTTATAGTCTTCAAATTGTGGAGTTCTTTATCTGCATTTTTCATATTTTCCTTCGGATTGCGTCTAGTTGCTACAATGAAGGAATCTAGGTGAATTTCCTCTCTCTCTCTCTCTCTCTTTTTCAATTTTTGTTTGTGTTTTTGGTTACATAATTATCAATTTCATGTATTTTTGTTCAACTATACTTCGAATTAAGTTTCATGTATTTTTATGTGATTAATTATACTTCATATAAAATTTTGTGCTCAATTTTTATTTTTCTCAATTTTGTACGGAGTATCAATTATACTTTGTATTAAGTTTCATATATTTTTGTTTCAATTTCTATTTCATTTTCATTAATGTGTCCTTCATTGTGTTCAATTTCTATTTAAATTTCATTAGTGTGTCATTAATTGCTCATTTTGCTCATTTTTTAGTGTAATTGTTTTCCTTTTATGTGTGATTAATTGCTCATGTTGCTTAAATTTTTGTGTAATTTCTGTTTTATGTTTGCTCATTTTTCCTATCATTGTTCATTTCATGATTTTTTTTGCTTATTTTGTGTTTTGTTGCTCATATGAACACTAGAAAATTTATTTTAAATTTGATGTCTTAAGATGAAAATAGGAAATGGATCAAGATTTGTAGTCTAATCTCGCAATTGTTGGCTAGCTTTAACTGATAAGTCGTCTAAATGAGCTTAAATTTTATTGAGCACGTTGTTGTGGTATCACATCTGCAAGGAAAAGCACAGTATAATATGTAGGCTTGAGACTCTTCAAAGCCTAATTCCATAAGGTTTTAGAAAAAATGGAGCAATGACACTGCAAGACAGTAAGTATGGCATGGGTAGGGGTCTAGAAGAGTGTTATTATGGCCTAAAAATAATTCATTCTCTGGCTTGCATTATAAGGGAGATTGCAGAATAAAGTAAGATTGGCTAATAAGAAACCTAGCTCATCTAATAAGGGGAATGTTCTGAAACATAGTAGCGCTTTTTCTTTGGGTGCATATATAGCAAGAGATGCCTGCAGCAAGTCATGGGTTGGTCAGAAGCATACTGGACAAACAGGAATGTCTTGTGGTCAATCGCTAGAGTTGCAGGAGATTCATAGTTGCTCACTTCCGAAGAAGAGTTTGTTAACTACGATTACAGTAGGTTGAGAGAACTAGGATATGACCCCTGCCCATGCCATTCACCATAAATTCCAAACCATAGTAAATGTCATTGAACCACCAAGGACTTGACTATATTTTGAACTATCTTTGACTTTGTCAGAATCATATTGTGCTTTTTTGTGTCATTAATTGCTCATTTTGCTCAATTTTTTGTCTGTTTTATGTTTGGTCATTTTACATTTGTTTGTTCATATTATGCTCATTTCTATTTGATTATTTGCATTGCAGTAAAGCTCTTGATGTAAATGATTATGCGCAACAACTTCAACCACAATGTTCTGATAATCAGACTTTTAAAGTAGAATATAAGTTGAAGAGGTTTAAAACATTAGCAATGAGGGATAAAGGGGAAAATATTTTGAACAAAAAAGTAGATAAATAGAAGGTTTGGTAAAGGTAAATAGAAGGCTTAATCTAAAAAGCTTAATTCTGATGAATTTCCAAAGAACATCAAAGCCGAAAAGTTTTGTTTTTATGATTCTTTGCAGAGTAGAATGTCTCCTTCTTCTGTTGTAAGTGTTGTAGGGGATTGTTCTGTCGCTTAATTGAAATCTATTAGGAAAATGGGTTTTGGCTCGTTAGAGTATTTAAAGGTGACCCAATTCCTCTTCACTTGGGTTTGTGGCTAGTGCAACATTTTGACGCCAAAACTTCTAGTTTGTGCATACCAGATTGTGAGCCGTTGCGTATTATTGAGAAACATGTTCACAAAGTGTTTGGGTTTCCTGTTGGAGGTCAAGATAAAAAAGATGCAATAACAGATTCAAGTGTGGTTAGGCGATGAAAAAAACAGGTCAAGAGGAACTCAGTCTGTGTTAAAATGGGTGAACTCACCTCATATTTGAAGAATCACAAGTCTGGCGGTCCTATGTTCAAGAGAAACTTTGTTCTTTGTGTTTCCACGTTATTGTCAGGTGATGAATTAATTTCAGTTAATTTTAGCTAACTCAATATGTTAATGAATTAATTTCAGCTTTGATCTCAGTACATTCACTTTGTTTTATTTTCAGTTAGTTTGCTCATTATCTTTAAGCAAGCGTATCATTTGTTATCATTGGACACCTGTTTTACACTGACTTATGAACACACTCTCACTCTCAATCCTTTTTATTTTTTTTATTTTTTTTTATTTTTTTTATTCACCCTTTCTTGAGAGTACTTTAATTCAATTTGCTCATTTTATGTTGGGTGGAAAAAACATGAATGTGAATCATAAGATTATGAAATATCTTGGTGATACGGATAAAATCAAAGATTTGAATTGGTCAAAGTACATTCTTGATTGTCTTGTGGCTAATAAGATATATTGGGACGAGCTTCCAACTCGTTATTTTCTCGGATCTTTGCTATTTCTTATGGTATTTTTACAAGTTAATATATATATATATATATATATATATATATATATGTAT